CTGAAGTGAGATCAAGCGCTAACAGGCATGAATTACTCAGATGAAACTTATTTATGCTCTCTTTCTCCCCCTCTTTTGGGTTCCTCTGCTGCTGAAATATCTACTACATGCTTTCTGAACGCAAGGAGGATTTGCGAAAGGCGTACTTACAAAGTCATTAATTCATAACCTCAGCATAACTACAACAGTCAGCTATTTTAGAAGAATGTCATTAATTAGATCAGCAAACATTGTTCCGCAGTTTTGTGTTCACACGGCATGCGAGCTGATTAGGTTTCTGTTCTGCTTCACATGGATCCAGTCTTTTCCATGTGGCTCCATGAGCAGGTGGCTCACATACATCACAGGAATGCTGATGTGTAGAGAATGCAAATATTAGATGGCATCATGCTATACAATATTTTTTTTAAAGGGTATTGTTGATGTTTTTCACGAAGTAGAAACAAAATATGAGTAAAATGAGAAGATAGTGAGCGACTTTCTATAATGAAAAGCAGCTCAGGACGTCACAAAGAGGGGCATTGTTTCAGAGGGTGGTGCACAGAACATGGCAGTATGCTCAAGATGAGTACTTTGGTTTAATGATGGACACGCTTCCAGAAAAACATCCACTCCGCTGCCTCCCGGGAAATGCAGCAAACTGAATGGAGGGTTTTCGGCAAATGTTCTGCATTAACGAACGGTAACTGCTTATGAAGAGCCGACGGCAGAAATATTAAAGCACAATTATCAAGAAATGCCTTGACAAACAAGTTATGTCTTGGTAAGGGTTTGTTTGCATTTTGCCTTCTCTCAGTAACTATTTTTCTTTTGACCGATTGACAAATTTCTGAAAATACGACAACGTAAAACATTCTGGGACAAGGGGATGTAACAAAGCAGAGGACTGTGCTGAAAGACTCAGGCGTAAAGCACCTCTCGTCCTTCCTTAAGCCTTGAGTGAGGGACAAATAACAAGCTTTTGCAAAGAGTTCCTGAGAGGCAGGCACATGAGGAGTTATGAGGTCACTGGTATTCTCAGGAGGAAGATCATTGTTATAGATGAGGACACAGTTCTTTAATTGAATTAAACGTTGTGATGTGAGAGCGATAAAGCTTTTTTCCAGCAGTGGGGGCTGAGGGCATCTTGTTCCTTACACTGTATCCACAGTTCTGTGTGTGTGTTGGAAAAAACAGCATCCTATTTGCTATCAGGCAGTGACTCCAACAGTATCACTCTCTTTGGGTTTTTTTTCTCTCCACTGAGAGCGTTTGAGAGGTCAGTGCCGTGCGCGATTTCTACGAGTGTATGAAACGGCTTCTGACTTCGTGAAATTTCATCCAGTGTGGGAAAAGTTGAAAACATCGCCCTCTCAGTCAATTAAGAGCATGTGTAGGCAGAATTCTATTTTTTTTCTCCCAACTTGTCTAGCTGAAAAAAAGCAAAGGGTGCGAGACAGAAACCTTTTCTTTTATGCCTTTAAATGCACCCTTTGAGAAAAATAAGCTGCTCATTGCAGTATTTTGAAGCAGTAAATAAACAAAAGGAGCACATCTCCGTAATTGTGTGTGGTGACATTTTGCATCCTTAACCGTTAGGGCACCTGAAGCCAACACACAAAACACACATTAGCTCACGAAACATAAACATGGAGTACTCGGTCCTTCCTGTGCATTGCTGGTGATTTCCTTCTCAACTCTGATCAGGTACAGGATTCATTAACACCCCCATTAACAACCTCGAGTGTTAATTATCTGCAGATTCCTCCTCTGTTATATTCAGTGCTGCCTTATTAGGTTGAAGACAGGCAATTAGCCAACGGGAAATAATTAGTCAACAGCTTTTTGACCTACTTCCTTCCAGTGACTCTGCTTTTTCCGACGGCCGCCTTTTGTCAGGACATTAAGACGAAGGGACAGACTTAGCTCCGCGGAGCGCGCGTGTGCGCGTGTGTGTGTGTGCGTTTGCAGCGCCTCGGTGTGTGTGTGTGTGTGCTCGCGGCTGTGGGTGTCCTTGTGTGGCGCCGTGAGATGATGGAAGTATTTTCCAGACGGATAATGAACTCTGCAGGGGTGTGATGAGGAGGCGCAGGGAGAGATGTGGAGCCACAGGTGTGTTTGGCGAGAAGTCCTCGCTCCACAGCTGCCTCGCTAACATGCATCACACACACACACACACACACGCACACACACACACACACACACACACACACAGATGGACAAGCAAAATGAGCTCATCCAACAAGAATTTTGTGTTCTTTCAGCTTATACAACAGAGACTAAGGTCACTTCTGCCACATTATTTCTTGAAGTACCTTTTGTAAAGCCTGATTCAAAGTGGCCTTTTTGCCCCCACGGCGTCTTTTTTTTAAATATCTACTAGAAAACGGCTGACAGTGAGAGTAAAAACCAAATTATGGAAAGGAGAAGAAGGGGAATGACAGGCAATTAAAACCCCGGGCTCATTCTAGGGACACGCTGCTGAGGACAGTTTTAACCCTCTTGTATTAAACACTTATGGCCCATCCAGTTTGTGCTGTAAGTAGTCCTCTCTGACATTTATTTATTTATTCATTCATTCATATATAATATTCCTGCCAAAAATGCCCAAATAACCTCTTTTACTGAGTTTCGCTGCAGTGTAATACCACTCTCGTTTCTACAAACGTACAGCCTGCGTTTGCTGTCATGTTTAAGAGGCCACTAAGATGCCATCAAAAGCCCACAAAAATGTCAAGTGACCGTAAAGGAAAGTGGCTTGGTGCAGGGCTGGGAACCAGTCGCGAGCCGCTCTGCCTCAGCTTCCGAGCACGCCAATTCAGCGTCAGGCCCGAGAATGTGCGTAGCAAAGGTTAATGGGCTTCAGATGTGGGGAAGTTCAGGTGGGTCCAGTGTCAGGAAAAGAGCTGCTTGATTTGAGCTCTACATGAATAAGCAAACTGTTTGCACAGCTTGGATTTGGTGCTGCGGCTGGAATGATTTATTACATGGAGATTTTTTTTTTTTCTGAGCCTCCCAAATGCAACTGGTGCCCCAATAAGCGTAACAACTAAAAACCGTAGTCTTAAACCAATTAGAAATGTCAACATGAAGAGAACGTGTGCTTGGCTTTTGTCTGAAATTATCAATCTTCTCGTGCATTGGGCACTTTGCACTTTGATTAAAATACTGGCGCGAGTGGTTATCTGCTTGAAATAGAAATATACAAATCGTAACAGTTTTTGATGAACGTTGACAGAAAACTGAAAATAATTCTTACACATGATGTATTTTGCATTAGAAGTCAAATGCATGTATATACTCTCTGGTCAGCTTTGAGATAACCCAGTCTAGTTTAAACATCTTTCTATTTCTTAGTTTTTTTTTTTTTTCCTTTTTTTCTGGTTCTTTGGGATATTTTGCAGTCCCTCCATCCATCCATTTACCTCCACTTACTTGGGGTCAGGTAGCAGGGGTAGCGGCTTAAACAGGGAGGCCCAGACTTCCCTTCACTTTTAGGCTCAGCTCTCCCTTTAAATGTTCTGTTGTATCTGTTATCAAAGAAAATAAGCGGAGGGAATAAGACATGAAACTTGGGCAAATAACAACAAAATAGGGTCAGTGATAACTCAAAGATTTAATTCATTTTAAACAAAACTGAGTTCCAAGCAATTGAGAGCAGATTACAGTCAGTTTGCTTGTTTAAGAGCTTCAAAGCAGCGTTTGTCCACGCTGAAGGCTTTAGTGTACTGCGCTGTTCTCAAAGTTGGGGACTCATGAGGGGCAGAGGATGCAAAGAGCGATCAAAACTACAGCAACAAAGGCAGTCGCGCTGAATTTCCCGTCATGCAGCTCTGCAGCCTCTTGTATTGACTGCTAGCTGCCTGCTTCTTTCAGTCTTCACTCAGGCGGTTTGCGTCTCTGACAGATGTCTGACAGATGTCACACATTGTCTCGCTGCAGACTCTCAGAAGATTTGGAGCGGCTCTGTTTGCGGGCTGACACGTCCCTCCTCAGAGCAAGAAAACGAACGTGTGAAATTTATAAAGCCAATGTCTCAGCAGCATGTTTAAAATCCTCCCGTAAACCAGGCAATCCATTTGTTATGTGTCAGATAAATTAGTCCAGATATCCTCTTTTGAATATATTTACCATCACCCAGACCTTCCTCCTCCTCCTCCTCCTCCTTTTAAAACTTTTCATCATTAGTTTCAATTGGTGGTGAACGTCTCTCCTGCTTGTTTCCTCTGCTGGTGTGGAGGGGCTTTACTTTCCCCGTCTTGTGGAAAGAGGAGGTCATTAAATGAAGGAACCCAGCAGCATTGCAGGTCATTTGTCAGATCAGTGATATTAATGACAACCTGCTAAGCCCCTTTCAGGAGTTAATCCTCTGATACTGTTTCTCCCTGCTGGCCGAGAGCAGGTGGACTTCAGCTCCTCATCGTGCATTCCCCGCGTTTCCATTTCCAGCTTTACTGATAATGGCATCAAACTGGATGAACTGCTGTAAATGCAGGCGTAGCAGGGCTTACTTCATAAAGATATGCCAGCGATGTACGGAGAAACATTGAGAAGACGCATGACATAGTGACTAAAGGCCGGATATGACCCGAACCGTGCCTCCAAAATACAAATGACGGCCTCTTGAAGCAACGGCTGTAGTGTTCAATTTATCTTCCTAACACATTTAACAGAGTACAGATAACGAGAAATAGTCATTACAGAATAGGAAACCTCGATATTTTTGAGTTCACACTTGCTAAACTTTGCTCCAAAATGCTGTCCACGGAGGAAAATAAGTCTCCTCCTGCAGAATGGAAGGCGGCGCCCTCCTCGTGTTTTCACATTGAACGCTTGTGATCTGATGGTTGCTCTGATGCGGGCTCGTCGTCGCCGTGGCAGCCACAAACAGGGCGCCTGCTTCCTTAAACTGGAGTTCCAGGCACAGAGTCACAGAGTGAGCGGGCTTGCATGTCCTCCCCAGTAGCGCAGATGCCACTAAATAAAATATTTCATAATCCTGCCCAAATCCTCTAATCACCATGACAACAGGCAGCAGGGAGCCGGAGAGCGCTGGTGTGTGGACCCCCTACCTCCCGTCTGTTTTGTTTTTTTCCTTCTTTTTCCCTCTTTTTATCTGAATTTGGGACCACACCGTTGGATCATTTTACCCTCAACAGTGAAGTCATTTTTTTCAGCCACGGGAAACTTTATTTTTTAAGTTTAACACCACACAAAGAATCCACCACAAGACCCTCGCCGCTTTCAAGAGATTTTTGGACGGTCTTGTCCCTGTGGGCAGAGTGTCCCTTAACAGAGAAGCCTGTGGTCTGATTATAATTGCTGCTTACGTGTTCCAGTGACAGAGCGGGCGTGCAGAGCGTCCACAGCGTGGACGCGGCGCACACACACACACAAGCGGGAACAGTAGCGAAAGGCCTGCCGGTCTCTGTGTGGTGATAGGATAATGGAGGTGATGACCTCATGGGGTGAAAGGACCTGTTGCCTGGTAACAGTGTGGATAACAGCGAGTGAAGGGGGTAGTCATATCACTGGCGCTGTGAGTGTGTGTGTGTGTGGGTGTGTGTGTCTAATATCGACCCGTGTTGTCAGGTGAGGGAGATGATGACAGTGGTTTAAAGAGGGGAGTGCTTTGGTCAGATTGAAGGGTATCGATTAGGTGTGTGTGTGTGTGTGTGTGCGTGTTACCGACGACCACGCAGCCCCAAAAAAAACGCAGCCCTGCAGTGTGTGTGCACACCTCACTCGGTGGGATGCAGTTCCTACATTTCCCTGCTCCTTCCGTCTCTCACTTGTCTGTGTTGCCACATATAAATAATTAAGCGGCCCTCTTTTCCGTCTCTCTGCAGGTATTCGGCCCCAGATTATGAATGGGCCTATGCACCCGCGCCCTCTGGTGGCGCTACTGGACGGGCGCGACTGCACGGTGGAGATGCCCATCCTCAAAGATCTGGCCACGGTGGCTTTCTGCGACGCTCAGTCCACACAGGAAATCCATGAAAAGGTTCGGTCACTCTGTGCCTCCTGGTTTTAGGGAATTCACTAGCGCTGATTTGCCTCTCTCGCATTTTTTCTTATTCAAAACTGATGCTATGCAAAAACCGGAAAAAATCGTGCATGGATTTGTTTTTTGTGTTTTTTTATTTTATTTTTTTGCAAATGTTAAACTGATAAAAGTTGTCTCAAGGACAAAATGGAAAAGATAAAGTTTCTGCTTGCTTTTCCCCTCAGGGAGAGTTGAGTTTACCTCCAAATTAGTGGCACTGGTGTCATTATAGTCACCAGAGGACTTGTCTTTTTTAAATCCAATTATGTCAAACAAATCCCACTTTGAAAAGTGCTAATAAAAACAACATTTGTCTGAGAATTTGTGATAATATTCTAGGCGTATTATATTTAATTTATATTAAATATTAAAACATAAATATTAAAATCCTTTTAACGTCTAATTGTATAAAATGGTGTCCAGTTTTTAAATATGTCTGAAAATGAGTTTGAAATGCAGAAACTCTTCAGCGTGTTTTTTTTTTATTGTTTGCTTTCTCCTAAGTACTGAAGAATCATCTCCATCCTCTTTCTGTTCCTCCTCCTCTGTAATGTTTTAATGATATTTCAGCCCACTGGCTCGTTCCACTCTCCCAGTACGACTATAATGGTTTCATAACTGACGCTAATCCCACTGGGTGTTGAAGTGCGGCTTTGTTAAATAAGGAGGAGGAGGAGGAGGAGGCTGGTAATAGAAATGCAGTATAATTGTTCTCAACCAGAGTGGGTGAAACATTTGTCTTATTTAACTGTCTATACTCTGGAGCCAGGAAGCTGCAAATTTACAATCCATGCTGGGGGGGTTTGTGGTTTCACACTCAAAGTAAAAAGGAAGGCTTCCAGCTCATGTTGTATCCGTCTCAGGTACAAATCCTCAAAACGTCTTCAATTTAAAGCTAAGAGCAAGTCGGTTTTACTTTAATGCCAGGCCAAATATACAGAAGTGCAGATTTAATGCAGAAAATACCAAAGAAATGGTTGATATTTCGGCTTTTCTCTCGCCATCTACTCACAAGCGGGCTCTGTTCGCTACGATGTTCTGAGAGTGAATGTGTTCTGCGAACAGAGGGCCCATCTGGAGGCATTGACGTTGGCAGCTGTCCCACAACTATAACCACACAGCAGAGGATACAGAGGGGCCACACACTCACACACTCACTTCAAATCCCAGTAGTGAAGCACTGTTCACACACAAGAACATCAAACCCTCACTGCGAGGAAACACGATCTCACTGCTGCCTCTCTGTTTGAGCTTCCTGGAAGTGAGCAGATGCACCAGTGAAGGAATCCGTCACTGAGAGGAGTAGACCGAGATGATATATAGATGAAAAAATATGCGAGTGGGTGACTCAGTGGATGTGTCCATGGAACACCACAATGAGCAAAAATGCAGTCAAAGAATTCACTGTTCCATGACAGTTTTCAGTTCCACTTTTACTTACAGTCTTATTTAATTTCCCTTTTCTATTAATACATTTCTATATTTAGACTTTTATTCAAGTATTTGTTTCTTGTTCTGTTTTATGTGCTTTATCTTGTATATGTTTAAATGTGTTCATTATCATCTTTTCCCTTTTTCATTTTTTTCTCATTTCTTTCCACATGTGTTTATTCTGTCCACTTTTTAATACAATTGTTTTAATCATATTTTCTGCTTTATTCTAAGAATACCCTGTGGCCCTGTGCTTTTAAGGTTTTTGCGTGTTGTCTCCATATCAAAAGAGTACAGACTGACTGTTCATGTTTGGCTCCACAAGAAGACACTCTCAGCTTGAGATGGCTTTTGAGACTTTTTTGGCTCCTGCTGAGTAAAATGAAATGATAAGCAAGCATTCAGTCTTTATTAAGCAGTCCAGGACTGTCATTGGAAAGAAAAAAATGATATGAAGATAGAAAGACATCAATTGATCTGTATTTTAAGTGTTTTTAACATCAGCGCCACAATGGAAACGGCTACCTGCTTTATTCATGCAACATTAAATTAAAATCTATGTTGACAATGAAATATTATTCAATATACTGGATTTTATTATTTTATTTTATCCTTTCCATGGTATGCTTGTCTATGCAGGGAAACTTATATTTGTGTAATCTTTATCTGCAATTCATAGTTAGAGTGGCCGAGCAGCTCTTTCTTGGCATGTATCTGAGAGCAGCACCTGCTAATTGTACACATTTGCCATGAATATAGTAAAACACGCTCTGTTTCAATTACTCTTAAAAGGAATGAGTAATGCAAATTGCATATGCAAAACATTGAGTAGAGTTCATTCATGCAAATCTTTTCCCAGTTCAAGATCCCGAAATTGGCTGTCCTCACCTAACCCTTGGATATAACCTGTGATTAACGTTTATTTTTATTACTGTTTAAAAGGCAGATTCATTAGGAACCACAACCTCCACCCAGAGAAATGTCTTAAAAAAAAAAAAAACTGGACTATGTTAAGAAGCACTCGCAAACACAACACGGCATCGAATCAGACTTTGAAGACCCTTTTTGCTTCAGCATTTGAGCACAACCTTGATAACAGTGCCACTACTCTCAGGGCTGCATGACTCTGGCGCCAGCAGGCGATTAACTTAGCATTGTGGAACATAGCCTTGCCGAGATAATAGCTAATAAAATAACTCTGGAAGCTCACAAATTAACAAGCTGTATCTCTGAGCTCCAGCAGAGAGATGATTAGCTTTGCTTTGCTCATTCACCGATACAGCTAAAAGGTGTCTCTGCAGAGTCAAAAGGTGCATTTCGAACCCACTCGTTAATAATGTGTGTGTTTGGTCTGTGTTGGGACGTGCTCTATAGCCTGTGCATCATTCCCCACTGCAGGTACAAACAGAAACACATTCACTGTGGAATACCGGCTCTAATTACAAGCGAGAACGTTGAACGCAGCTGCTGAAAAGCACGACACGGTATCCATTGCTCAGTTTTTCCACTTCGTGTAAATGTGCTCTCGGTTTATATCACCGCTGCTTGAGACTGGGCAGCGACTGGCTGTTGTTTTCCAGCAGCGTCTGCAGCCAGGCCCGCAGCCGGCCTGCTTCGTTCAAGTAATGACATTAATGCACGAGGAGCGCTCTAACCTTGAGTTTAGCATCCAGCTCCCGCTACATCTAATTCCAATAAAAAATGTTGTGTGGAAATTCATGGCTATGCTAATCTGGCTTGGGTAGGTTAATTCTCTCGGCAGATTGTGAATTCAAACCAGTTATTTAACGGCCTTGGCTTGCAACAGCCACTTGTTTATGCTCTCTGGCTTTCTCAGCAGCTGTCAGTCTGCTTTATTGTCTTGTGTGCACCCTCTCTAACCTTGTTTGCATATAGTCTGAATTAATGGATTGTGACAAAAACCAGCTCTTGCAGGCGCTCATTGTACAGTAGATGCACAGACAGTTACTTGTGTGTTAGAGCACGCGTAAACAATCCATTTGCATTTAGATGAAGAATAGAAAACACAAACTTGGATTCGGGCAGATGAACGGTGGTGAAAACGCTCAGTGCTGGATAGAAGTGCCAGGATGATAATCCCTGACGTCGGTGACAGGGATGCCTTTTTAAAACTGGATTTAAAAATAGTTTTTTTTGTCCGTCTTTGACACTACTAATAACCGCAAGGGAGACGCTGACAGTGATCCCCCTCTCGGATGTCCCTCAGGTGCTGAATGAAGCTGTCGGAGCCATGATGTACCATACCATAACACTGACCAGAGAGGATCTGGAGAAGTTCAAGGCGCTGCGCATCATCATACGCATCGGCAGCGGCTACGACAACATCGACATCAAGGCTGCCGGGGAGCTCGGTGAGGCTGGGGGACAAATGGAGCGACAGGAGGCCGTTCAGAAGCACGCCGTTAGGAATAATGACAATGAAGAATCATATTTTCCTAATATTGCTCAATTAAGATTCGAAATCAATAAAAGCAGAGACGTTGCATTATGGATAAGGAGGGTACATCTTTTCTTCAGGGCCAAACCAAACTCTGCCCTCTGTATTGACATAACATAAACAACATATGAAGCAGGAATTATTTATTAACTGTAAACAGAAGCGGTAATGGAGCTGATATCACATTCAGAGCAGATGCTTCAGCTTATATAAAATTCTTCCTCTGAATCCCATTTGGCCCCTTCGGCATATGTTTGGTTTTAGAGGGAGATATCATGTTATATCTTAATTACCGTCACTAACACATGTCTTCTAGCTCAGTAGTGTTGCACCTAGATTTCACATCTTGAATTTGATTTTGTTTTTTACAAGATGCTGAAAAAAAAAGAAGAATAGCAGTGTGTTTCAACAGTCGTCTTTGTGATCTTTCCTTCTCCAGGCATCGCCGTGTGTAATATTCCCTCAGCGGCCGTGGAAGAAACAGCAGACTCCACGCTTTGTCACATCCTTAACCTGTACCGGCGGAACACCTGGCTGTACCAGGCTCTCCGGGAGGGCACCAGAGTTCAGAGCGTGGAGCAGATCCGGGAGGTTGCGTCCGGGGCAGCCCGGATCCGAGGAGAGACGCTGGGCCTCATTGGATTCGGTGAGCTTTTTTTTTTCTGTGGATGGATTTAAAAAGCAAGAGGCCCATAAGAATTGTGTTGTTCAGAGGAAGAAAGGTCAGCATTAATGACCAAACACATTCATTTCTCCTCTGCCAGCATTCAGTAACTGAATGATAACCACTGTGGGCAGCAGCCTCTGTGGAAAAGTAGAGGAAAAAAACTGAATAAACCGTTTAAAGTGACAAACAGTGTGTGGGGGGGGGTGGGATTCATGTATTGTAGAAACAATATCCAATATATACTCAGATCATATGAATATATATTTAACATCTAACATTTTTTCTGATTTGGTCCTAAAACATTCATCTTTGAGTCTTCTCTTGATGAATTTCTCTAAAAGACGTTGAATATTTTTCACCAGACTGTGTCTTTTCTGCATGAGTTTACGGGATGATTGTTTTTTTTATTTCAAACGAAACCAGGTGACAAATCACAGACGCTGCTTTTTTACTTAATATTAAGGGGAACACATGGCATGCGTCCCTCATGTTGGTGCTACAAAGATACTAAACCGAATTGCTTTGCAAGCTGTCTCCAACAAACCGGAGCAGCGATGCAACAAAGCATAACGTGCGAAGTAGGAACACAGATCTTATTGTTTGTAAGTGTGAATCCTCACACCAGCTTGAAGAGTCTGATTATGTCCAGATCCATTTTTTCATTTTTAAAGCCGTGAAGAAAATTCTGTTAACTTGTCTTTGAAAAATAACCTTTTCCCTTTTTGACTCAAAATACTGTATAGTCAATCAAAAGGAGATCAAAATGAATAGTGCTGCGATTTTCTTTTTATCTACTGGGCCGTCTGCATTATTTATCTGGCACTTTGCCGGGCAGCAATGTAAATAAACAAAGGATTTTATTAATAAGGTGGACTTTTAATAAAAGCAAAGGCTTTCAAAAAGTGGAACCTCTCTGGAGGTTTCAAGGTAAGGCCAGTGAATGGAGCAGAAAACACATCACAGTAGTTATTAAAAGATTAACTTAAAGAAATGTGATGTGACTGAATAGCTCAGATACCTTCATTCATGTGAAACAAGACCGCCTGATTGCAGTTTTACACGTATCTTAATGTACTTTGTGCTGCCTTGTGATACAGGTTCACCTTGGTGCACTTTATATGGTGTGTATGAAATTTAGATGACCAAAACACGTTTTATTTGGAATCCATGAATGTGATCAACTTTTTTATCTTTAACTCTGTAATGGTCTTTAACCAGAGAACCATTAGAATTTTATTCGACTTGCTTGTTTTTATGTTGAAGGTAGAAGGAATCTGTTTTTGATGTCAGGTCTAACTTCTCTGTCCGCGTTTGTAGTACAGCGTTATTACAGTGTTTTCGAGCAGCGTCCACTCTGATTGCTCTGACAGCAAAATGCCAGCGTAAGCAAGCCTAAAAGCTCCCGCCGACAGCGACGTTTGTCGGATTTTTGTTTACACGAAGCGTTTCCAAAGTAGCACCACAAACCAACGGCGCGCGGCTTAAGCCGGTCGAGGACGAGACGGCTTGATTGTTGTTTTGGACCTTTAGCAATCTTTCTCCCTCTCCCAGGCCGCTCGGGGCAGGCGGTGGCCATGCGGGCCAAGGCCTTCGGCTTCAACGTCATCTTCTACGACCCGTACCTCCAGGACGGCCTGGAGCGCTCGCTGGGGGTCCAGAGGGTCTACACGCTGCAGGACCTGCTCTACCAGAGCGACTGCGTGTCCCTGCACTGCAACCTGAATGAACACAACCACCACCTCATCAACGACTTCACCATCAAACAGGTGGGCCAACTCCTGGCATGAGGACTTAAAACTGCCGGGGAGAGCTTCGTCTCGTTCTTTGCCTCCCAGTGCTCCTTTTTTGGCAACTCGCAATTACAGGCTCTTTAAATAACCTTTTAATAAGCGGTACGATGTTTGGAACCAGCGAACACAAATAAAAAAAAAAAAAGGCATGTGTGTTTAGTACATGTGGGGGCAGATAATAGTACATTGTTCCTGTCCTTTTATAACTATCAGGTCAGTGTGACCCAAACATTGCCAAAGTGTGTGTGTGGGTGTAGGATCATTCTGTTAAATTGTTCCCCTGCATGCTCCACACACACACACACATACACACACAAACACACACACACACACATAATTTATCCGAGTGAGGAGATATCTATGTTGCAACACGATGAATCTTAGATGATTTGGCTGTTTTTGTGTATGGAAGTAAGATAGTAAAATGCTTTTGTCAGCTTTTAGGAACATTTTCCTTTGTCCAGATGCATAGCATGTTTTGCACACTCTGAGAAACTGCGCCACACCTAGTGGAAGCTGCCAACAAAGCCGTCAGTTACGAGCAGAGGAATGCTGCTGCCCGGCCAAGTCCCAGCTGCCAGCCAAGTGGCCTGCAAGGCCAGATGTGCGAGCCCTAATGAAACAGTTGCTGAGCTGTGCACGTCCCGCGCTTTAGCCCCAATATGTGATTCTTTGGGGCCTTTTTTTTCCCTCTCTACATTAAACAGATGTTTCCCTGTAATGTAACCTAGTGCACAAATGTTGCTCTTTATGATTACAGTAAATGTAATCCTCGTTTTCCTTTCCTGGTCACTGCTGCCCCCTGGAGGACATGAACTGAACAACAGTGTTTGATGACTTATTTATCAGTTGGGAAATAATGAGCCAGTAGCTCTAGTTGGGCCTTTCAACACTATGAAATTAGCACAGATCATTGGATAATGTTTAATTTTTGGGGGAGCGGGTGTGTCAATGTGATGGTCATTTTTTATTTGTTTTTATTTTTATAAAGTTGTTTTATACAGTGTTGAGCTCATAGCTGCACCCTGTTTGTCCGTTGTGTATTCGTGTAGATGCGTCAAGGTGCTTTCCTCGTCAACTCTGCGCGGGGGGGTCTAGTGGACGAGAAAGCCTTGGCTCAGGCCTTAAAGGAAGGCAGGATACGCGGCGCTGCTCTGGATGTCCACGAGTCAGAGCCTTTCAGGTGCTTCCAGCCTCCACTGGGACATGATCAGAAACTCTGAGTGCCATTTTTTTGTCATCTCTCTCTTTTAATACTTTCGTTTGCTGCCCAACAGTTTCTCCCAAGGCCCCCTAAAAGACGCCCCAAACCTGATCTGCACCCCGCACACCGCCTGGTACAGCGAGCAGGCGTCGTTGGAGATGAGGGAGGCCGCCGCCACGGAAATCCGCCGAGCTATCACAGGTGGGAATCCACCTTTAACATGTCCACATCTGCATTTTGACTTCCCGCTTCTAACCGCTCAATACCAACCACCCCACCCTCGCCCCTCCGACACAGGCCGCATTCCCGACAGCCTGCGGAACTGCGTGAACAAAGAGTTCTTTGTTACCACGGCCCCCTGGGGCATGATGGAGCAGCAGCAGCCTCAAGTCCACCCTGAAATCAATGGTGCCGCCTACAGGTAGGAGACTGATCCGGACCCTGCGTCACGCAGAGGTCACGCCTGATCTCAACATCTGCGGTGGGGGCCGTGTTGAGATGTTGTTTTTCTTCTTTGGAGAAATCGAACATTCAGCTTGGCCCAAATGAGTGTATCCCATGTGAAGTCTAGGTTCTTCCGTTCTCGGTCTTTACACTGTCTCAACCGGACTGAACTGCTTCTCTCACACAGCCGAGTGAACCAAACCATGGTACAGGCCATAGCAACGGGGGGAATGCAGGACAAATTATATACCTAATTCTCAACCAGGTAAATGAATTCTGCCACTGCTGGCCCGCAGGCCGGGGTCAATGAATAACATCCTTATTAGAACCAAACCCCTACCGAGTTCTGTCGTGGTTTTTTTTTCCCTTTTCACCCTCTTAACTTACACGCCCCCTAACTGTACCCACCCCACCCAGCGCCTCATCAGTTCCCCAGCCCCCCCAACACACACACACACACACACACACACCCTTCACTGTAACTGAAACACAGCACTCAGGATCGTACACCAATTGTACACCAAAGGTAGTCTTAGACTGATCCCAACTCAAGGAGGGAAAGCAAACCCATAAGGAGAGTGGGATGAGGGTCTAATATCTCTCTAAGACATTTGCGAAAGTATATCAGGTCATTTTGAGACTTGGTAGAGTTTTGATAATAAAACTCTAAAACAAAAAAATAAGACAATAATGTCTATGTTCTTCTAGGAGTGTTTCTTTGAAAACGTTGTGGTATGTCCTCATCGCCTCGTGTCCCTCTCCAGATTCCCTCCTGGTGTGATGGGCGTGGCCCCCGGTGGGATTCCTGGACCTATGGAGGGGTCGGTGCCCGGGGGAGTGCCCATCGCCCACACCCTGCCCCCCGGCACCCATCCGTCCCAGGCCACCTCCCCAAACCAACCCTCCAAACATGGCGACCCCATGAGAGAGCACATGACTGAGCCGTAGTGGGACTGCTGCTGCGGCCGGGACCGACCGGCCGAGCAGAGGCGTGAGATCCGTGTAAACTAAAGAACCCTACCCAGCCGTATGCTTGACTTCAGCCGTCCGGACCTACCAGCAGACTGCCTGCCGGGCAACGTTTCACACTTTTTTCTTTTTTGTATGAAACCACTAAGCCCACGTGAGGACAGTGAACATAAGTTCACACTTAAGCTGCCAACTGAGACGGGCCTGACTGTCAAAACTCATGCGCCGAAGATCCGAAACGTTTCCTCCCGTTGGTGTCTGTTTTTGTTCTTCACTGAGCTACGTGATGCTTTTCTTTTGATCTATATCATAGCGTGTACTTTAGGGAAACTCCTCCTGACGTCTAAGACACCTCGTCAGGAACTATTTGGAAGATGGAAACCTAACCCGCCTGCCCTGGTTTAGATGACAGCCCATCAAGAGTCCTTTTCTCTTAGTTTTGCCCAATTCTGCACAAACATGTCTTGTGTTGTTTTTTTTGTTTTTATTCCTTTTTTTTCTGTTTTTTTTACATGTTCCTGTTTAAACTGTATTCTGTGTTTCTGTTGGAAGTGAGTGTTTGTCATTCTGTTCTTAGTTGTGTGAAAATGAATGGTAATGTTCAGCAGATGAGAAAAGTAAGCTTCGGAAATCTAGACTCTATCTTTGTTCTCTTCTATTGATCAAGGCTGATGAACCCTGAATGTAAAGAGAAAAAAATGGGACAGCAGGCCTGAAAGAATATTTCAGCTTATGAAAAAGGAGTTGCCCTTTGAAACCAAAAGAATGGAAAGGAAGAGAAAAAGAAGCCGCAGCTCTTCCTGGTTAGACGCTGTACGTTTGTGTGCGACGCCTCGATTACAGTTAGCCGTTGTAACCTTTCCAGCTCTGTGTGGCCCAGGCACCGATGACATTTTGGTTACAGTCACCAACGGAATACTTTCTGTCTTATTCATTGTCTTTCAGAGGACCTAGATTAGATGGCAGCAAAAAACAAAACAAAAAAGCTTGCGTTGAATGAAAGTGTTTAGATAAACAAAAACAGGAAATCTCTTACTGACTCAGGAAAAAACAAAACAAAAAACAACGTGAAATCTGAACAGAAAACAAACCAACAAAAAAAAAAAAATTTGACAGTTCTGGATTACTGCTTTTCATGTCTTTCTCCATTGTGGTATTTTTTTATATATCAAATGTACATTTTTTGATGTTAAAGATTTTCACCCCTGTTAGATTTGTATTACCTTGTTAAATGTTCATATAACCGTAGCCCCGCGTGCCCCGCCCTGCCCCTCCCACCCCCCTTCCCCTTCTCCTTCTCATAGTTTCCTCTTTGTTTCTGGGCTCTAATGGGAGCCAGCTGTGTGAACAAACAGCAGCCACATCCATCCCCTCAGCGCTGTGACGTTAGCAGAGGTGGCTGCTTGCAGATTGTTTGGTTTTTAGTGTGAGTATTTGTATTTGTTTCTTGTACAAGGTGAAAATATAGCATACAGTGCAGCTGGAACCAATAAATAAAAATTACTGTTCTGATTGACGATTGTTAAAATGCTGTGTTTTTTTTGTTTTTTTTTCTAATAATCGGGCCAGAGATCTTTAAAAAAAAAAGACTTAAACCCTCTTAAATGAAGATTTTTTTTTACATGTGGAACTGTGCCAGGATGGTTCTTTGTGTTGCTCAAGTTTGAAAGCTGCGTGTCACAGGATGCAAATGGCAACAGGAAGCATCCCCGTCGCTGCAGTAAGTGTCACTGCAGGCCTTTATTTTAGCCTTTTGTTTTAGTTCAGGCAAGTCCCTCATTTGAAATATACATACTACAAACACGACATCTGCAATCAGATGATGACCGTGTACACATTAAAAGAAAATCTGAGATGGAAGGAACTATTACGGGCCATAGCATGTTATATATAGAGTAATGTCAAATAGGTTTAAATGTTTCTGAGAATGAATATTTGAGATTTATGGCTGCTTCTTGGCTCGTTGGCATATGTATGAAGGACATACCAGTCCCGCTTTCAGATAATCAAATGGTTCATAATTTGACTTCCAAGCGCATTAATTATTATATTTTTCCTGTCTATAAGCACTTGACTGTCTAAAACTTGAACTTCATAATAATGTTTATTGTAGCATTACTGAAATCGTCACGTTTACTGACCTGAACAGACGTTACCAACAACGCCAGTATTAAAAATCTTAAGGATTTTAAAAGAACAAACTATTGTCGTTTTCATTTCCTTTTTGCACTTTTCCTCCAACGGGATAATTTTACTCCATTCACTTTTCTGGGAGCCTTTCGGCAACCAGAGGGTTGCAGATGTTTGTTAGTTTTATAATCTAAGGCCTCAAAAGATCAAGTTATGCACATTCTTTTTTTTTTTATCTAAAAGGCTTTGTGCGACCCTCATGAGACAAAAGTGTTTCACTATGGCTGCCTTAAGGTGACACATTAAATTTGACATTCTCATGCTGTATTCTTCTTTTAGCCACTAGAGGAGGCTGCACGTATGAGTCATGTAAACACGTTGTAAGAGCTACAAACAAGTTATTTACATACACAACAAATAAATGAACGTGATGATGGCAGATGTTCAAATGAGTGCATGTTGATTTCTGGTCTGAAAAAGAGACAGGAAACAGTTTTATTTGGACATTCAAAAAGGTTTTCCTTTATTTTTTTTTCCATATTTTGCCTGTTCTTTGCAGTACACTCTGTTTAGTGAAATCAGGCCTATATCCACAAACCATCATAGTCACAACTGCATCTATTGCATAAATACAAAGCAACATACAGGTGATGCTCAAAACATGTAGGACTGAAATGAAACACGAGGTTACAGTACGCAATGGCGAGAAAAACAGAAAATGCAAACATTCACAGCAAAAACTGGGGCAAGAACTTGTTTTTTTTTTTTACTGTCAGCTTTGGTTTTATATGTTGTAACGTCTAACGATAACTTTGATTTAAAACATGGGTAGACGACAAACAGGCTTTAGGTTGAACCCACTACGAGGATCGAGCTCGACAGCAAACGCTTGAAGGAACACTGGGACAAACAAGAAATAGACGGAGATTTGACAAGTTTTATATCGACACTGAATGCATTTCAACACCGCATTCGTCCGCACAGGAAAAAAAAGCACCAGATTTGAAGCATCCAGATGAGGTACGAAATCCCATGCAACAAAGTTAAGTAAACTTCCACTGATGGTTACGATTGGTTCTTCCCTCACAGCAACAGCGTTCCTGTGCGACTTCATTAGATTGAAAGAATAATTAAAAACCACAAAAAGGTGAAAAATATACAGAAAGTTCTCATTAGCTCAAATAAGTTTCCAAACAATAAATATGTTGAACAAGTTCAGAGAAAAAACACACACACACACGCACACACAAACTTCTCAGTTCAATCAGTCTGAAAAAAGTAAACCAAATCTCCAACATGAACGTTAGTGTGCCAAACCTTGGTGAGTTGTGAAGGGCAAATCTCCCTTTTAAAGAGCTTCATATATGATCTTAATTCAAGCAATGATACTGTATTTGTATAGAAATGTTTTAATAAATGTGCAGTGCTTAGTAATAAGGATTAAAGTTGCTTATTATTACACAATCTCTGTTTTTCTGAAGACAATATTCATTGGCTTTGTCCCTGCCTGTTTGAAAAAACAAAATACACTAAACAAGCCGAGTCTAACACAACTGGAGAAACATCATAAAGATCAATTTGGAAGTGTGCTTTTGTCAGTGCTCACACTGGACAGATAGAAAGTGTTGATTTCAATCAATGCTGGTATATTTCCTTTAACTCTTATTTGAACAACCACATGCATTTACATCTACGGATAAAGATTCTTAGTTTTTTTCTTTACACTTGAAACTCAAAGCAAATCAAAGGGTCATTTGCATTTGTAAACCTTTATTCTCTGCCCCAAATCGTTGTCGGTGCCAGTTTGGTCTGAGTAAAAGTGTTGGATGCCTGAAAGAGTATGTCCGAGGAGCAGTGCTGTTTCCTGTGTGTGGGTTGGGGGGGTGGGGGGGCTTGTGGTTCCCTGTCCTGTTGAAGGCTTTCACAGTTTGTCCGTGTCAGGAAAGAAAAAATAAACAAAAAAAAAAGAAGAAACCAAAGAAAAACTGGGAGAGCAGAGAGGGAGGAATCCTGCCCCCTGCAGACCGCCTCCCTCCGCTTCAGTTTTGTCACTCGTCATCGTCGTCTTCCTCCTCTTCGCCGTCAGACAAAGAGGCACAGGGCCGGATCTGCCGGTAGCCGTCCAGCCACTTCTCCACCATCTGGGTGACCAGCGGGTGGTTGCGGCGCCGGGAGCTTTTCTGTAGGGCCACCAGAACGCCGCCCTCTGTCACGCAGCAGTCCAGCCACTCCCTCAGGAGCTTCTCCTGCTGCTCCTCGTTCCCCATCTGAAACAGAGAGCCCAGTCATGCACCCGCAGCTGCCCTTACCTATGAAGCGGCGTGGATGTAGTGCAGAAAAAGAACGTCACAGCAAAACAAGAAACGCGAGCAGGGGTCTCCTTACTTCCTGTGCGGAGAGGAAGTGTATGTGGAGCAGCTTCCTTTCACTGTCGACCAGCGGCAGGAACGTGACCGTGACGTCGTCGTCGGTGTTGAGGTTGGCGCCCGCGCCGCGATTGTCGAAGCCGTCGTTCTCCATGGCCACCAGCGCGGAGAAGTGGCCCCGCGTGTAGCCCAGAGCGATGGGGCTCTTCCAGCAGAAACTCTGCTCCCACAGGAGGGGCAGGTACACGCCTGCAGCCGGAGGGGAGCGCACACACAGAGAGAGCTCGTTGGTTCTGTCCCTCTTACACATCCCGCTTCATCACACCAAAATTAATACGGGGGTTTAGACCGACAGATACTTTGGTCTGTCACTAAAACTACTTTGATCTGGATGACTGGTCGTCCAAAAACAGCTGCAATTTGGGATATCAATAAAGTTTTAGAACCGCTTTATGTCACAGATGTTATGCAAATTTGACAAGATTAATTTTGATATAAAAACACAAAAACAAAATTACTCTTAATACTAAACATTTGGTAAATGTCAAAATCATTCATTGCTTAGTTTCAGACTGGAATACTTCATCAGCCTTTAGGCTGAAATATTGGAGCTGTGTATTCGAAAAACAAAATGGAACAAAAAAAAAACATCCTTACATAGTCTTAGATCAGGTAGATTTAACACACACTACCAAAGAAGAAAGACATCACACATCGCAGCAACTTGGAGTCCATCATTTTACGCAGAGTAAACACTGGAGATATTTGCTCATCCTCCCAGGAGTGAACGCCCCGGTAAGATAGCTCAAAGCTCCGATCGTGCAGTAAAAACTGAAAAAGACCCATCCCAGACTCTACAGGCCTGAGTTAGTCAGCCAGCTGTGATGTTACAGTTTAGAACGGCTGTAGGAGAAAAACCCCTCTCCCTGAAAACAACAGCACGGCAGCACAGCTTGGATTGCACAAAGTTGCATCAAACAAAATTGCTCTTTAGGGATGACGCAAGTATTCTCCTCTCAAAACTTGAGGCAAATCTCTCACGACAGCTAAAGCTGGTCAAAACTGTGTCAACTGACTGGATGATGGTCGCGAGCACGGCTGAGAATACACAACATGAGTCCAACAAGAGTCAGTCCAGTCAAAGTGCTGAAGCCAGCGCTTCCTCTTCCATCCATACAACAGGTCTACACAGGACTACAGCTCGTAAATCAACACTTTTCTTTGACAAGGAAGCATGAATATATAACAGCAGCAAAAACAAGTATTCAATGTCCTGCTTAAGTAGCAAAGAAAAACAAAACAAAAAGCAGAAACCTCGACTCGAAGTGCTCTGACGCTTCACAAACACATCAGAAGCTAACGCTTTAAAAGTCTCCATTTAGCATCTCTTTTTGTAGCCACTGCGTTTTACTGGGTTCATTTGGTCAACTCTAACTGGACACCCCCTGCTTACCCACTTTTCCTATAGGCCTGTGTGTGCGTTACACTGGGGCCTGGCAGCAGCAAGCCACAAATCCATCAAGCAAGCTTTACCACAAGCAGTTGGCCCTCAAAGAGCACTTTCATCATCCCGTGCACTGCATCCCTCAGCAGGCTAATTGAAACCAGACTGTTTTTGCTGCTAGTCATGAAGGTGGACCCCGCTCTGCGCATTAGCAGGGCTGTTTTCCTTAGGATTTTGATTGTTTACCTGTTCTCGGCTGCATGCCACTACAATGCCTCTGTATGTGGGCTACTTTGATATGGTCTCCCTCGAAAACCATAAATGAAATGCACCAGACACTGAAAGGAACAGTTATGAAAGCAACGCAAGCTATGCAGACACATGTGGGCCGGAGCCATCGTACAAAGGAAGTCTAGTTCCTCTGCACCCACTCCACTGGAGCTGCAGTGCTGATCACATCTGCTCTGAAACAGTGTCCGCCCGAGCGGTCAGAGGTTTGCTCACCTTGAAAACGGGTGTACCCGAGTGTTTCGCCACGGAAACTCTTGTAATACTTCACTCCGTAGACGATAATAGGCCGACGAAGTATGTGTGCAAGAACAAAAATGTGGGTCTGCTCCAAGCTGGATCCTGGCTGTGGAATCAGAGTACATGAGGGAGAAAACCGTGAGAGAAGATTGGATTCCTGAATGCTGCCCAGTTTCCCCGGCATGCTCCCCAGGGTAAAAACATGAAAAAGCACATAATTACACAGCTCTCACACCCAGATTTATGAACAGTCTGCCCAAACACTTAGGAAATGGGCTGGTACAGAACAGTGCTCATGATGGACAGGATGCATTAGGCTACATATACCAGAGAAGCTTCCTAAATAATTCATGCATCATTAGCGTGTCACATAAGCACCGACAGCCCCTGTCCTGTGCGTTAATGGGAGATTTTGCTTTCATGTACGTCTACCTGGCTGGCAAGGGAAAGGATGAAAGCCCAATCTTCCTGCCACTGCTCCTCTCGGAGGGAGAAGTGCAGGCCGAAGCTCTGGGAATACCATGACTCCCACTCCTTCCAGCGGGTGTAAAACCTGCAGGAACACACACAAAGACACACACACACAGTGCTTAGCTGCTGACATTATTTGACCTGTGAGCAGGAAGGCGTGTGACTGCTATTGACTCCATTCCTCCCCTCTCTGTTATGGGATAGGTTGGATCGTAATAGCTCATTATATTTATTTTCTGTGGAAAAGAAACACAGTTTCCTACAAACAGACATGAGTCACAGTGGGCTGGGTATAGTCATGTACAATCAGTCTCAGCCCCCTTTCACTGAAAAATGTCTTATTCTGCCCTCAGTTAGAGCCAACTGAGACAGTAGAAGGGGTGGTTTTAATTTTCATCTGCCCATCATGACAATCTTGAAAGCCGATTGTTCTCCAGTGTACTGTATGCTTGTGGGGAATGAAAGCCTCAATTGCACATGCATTTTAACAGAGGAAATGTTAAATTTCTTCTGAATTTTAATGTCTGAATTATAAGGAACATGTAACTCAATTTCATTCAATTTTACACGTTTTTTTAAAAATATTCTAAAACTTGTTTTTTCACATTTCTAAATCAGCCTTTCTGATTGTTGCATCAGTTAGTGAAGCAGACTTTGGACTCATGAGTGTAATGATGTGTGCATTTCTCTTGGTTGTAGACACACAAGCACAGCTTGTCTTCATTTGTTCATGTGTTTTTGTTCTTGCGTGGATGTTCTTTGTAAAAAATAGGCAAAACCGTTGTTCATGAATGATTAATTGATGTCTTTTGACAATCCCCCTTTTGATAGGGGGGCCGACATAACACATTTATAAGTATTTCATTCATTTCAGGCGTTTTCTTTAGTTTAACTGTATCAAACACCAATACTTTTGTGCATATGGTGTTGGATGTGTTGAGTGCACATCAGCACCTCTATAGCCGTGTCTGCTTATCAAGCTATGTAAAGAAAAAAATTAGATAATGTTGAGTGTCAAGTTCCAGATGTAATAGTTTCCTTGAGAGAGGCAATAAAACTTGACTACCTCACTTCCAGGAAATATTTTGGGAGGAAATGATCAGCCAAATGTTAAATACATGGAAACATAAATAATGTGTGGATATGGGAATAAAAGTTTTAACTTTTCAACATCAGAATAGTGGAAAATACATAAATGTGTAATAAATGTTCCCCTTTTCCTTACTTTTCATATTGAACATCACTCCACAGGTGAAGCGGAACACAATTTGAATATGTGCCAGAGTGCATGCAAATCAATCTCAGTTTGGGTTTTAAAGGGCTCCGACACGCTGATCTGTACTACCAGTGCTCAGGCTGCAGGCCTCACCAGTGGGAGCAGTCGTGCAAACTGTCATGAAGAGTCTTACGGAGCACAGAGTCCTTGTCATAGATGCCCCATGTGGCCTGTAGCACTGAGTCAAGGAGGCAGTCGCCTGCTGTGCGGTTCCAGAGCGCATACAGTCGACTGTCAAACCTTGTCCCGAGCTCTAGAGACCAGTTGATGATCGGAGACTCCTCTTCAAGTTCTGAGGGAACAGTTAAGAGGGAAGGAAAGGTTAAGAGATGTATGCCAGCACAAGCTTTTGGTACTCTTTATCATTAACCAACCAATATATTTTAGCAGGAAATTAACTGGTGGTGATGACAATGAAGACATTTTATTATGTTTGATGACAGTAAGGAAGATAGTCAGAAAACTCATAACAGAAAAATAAACAGGATAAAATAAACAACAGAAAAAAGTCTCTGTCCTTTGCAGTGTATTTTATTATCTGTAACTGTGTGTCTGCAGGATGAATAAAAGGTACAATAATTCAACCAGTGCACACAATGAAGAGAAACTGCCTGGCAGACTGACAAGTAGCCCAGTAAAAACTTTGCTGGCAGGAAGGGAAACACAAGTAATACAACACTGCCAGTACTGGAGAGCCTCCCCGTTATAGCACACTTGTTGTGAAGGGGCTCCCTCTGTTTACCAAGCAGCCAAATAGATGTGAGATCTGGTTTCTCTCACACAGATTGAGATCCACCGCAGTGATACATAAGCTCAGAGAGTAAGACGTGATACTGCAACAATGAAGCAGAACACAGAGGCAGGAAGCAATTCACCTTTTTGTACGTCTCGGTCAAGCACCTCGTCAAACAACTTCTCCTGAACAGCTGGAGGCAAATCCTCAATGTCTGAAACAAAACAAAATGGAGGAGTGAATAACAGCAACAAACAGTGAGCAAAGGTACTTGAGATATGATTAATCTGTAACTGAACCCTGTGAAATGAGAGACAGTGAGATATTTTTCTGTCCTTGCTCATTAGAAATCAAGCCACCATGTTTTGTTCTCCTCACAACAGCCAATGGCTTTCACTGCATGCACAGCGCTCCCATGAACACAGAAGCTTATTCTTTGGCTAAAATAAATGAAGGCATTGACTGAGGATTGTACATCGTGGAACTGAGCAGAATGGGATTCAACTGTGGCCAGATGCCAAGGTCAGCCCTGTCATGAACATACGGCCAAACAAAAATCCCTAACTTAGCTATAACAACAAAAAAAACGAGGCACAATGTATATTACCAGACAGGTGTCTAAACAGCTAAATATCCCCTCGGTGGGACGGGGAAAAATGCACAGTTAGCAGTTAGCTGTTACATTCAGCATACCAGAACAATACTGTGACAATACAGTGGCAGTCAGAGGCAGGTTTGGCTATATAATATGTGTCTTCAGTTTCAGTTTCAGGTTTCAACAGCCTCTGGGATCCATATGAAGATATTTCTGAATACTACCTGCATACCATGCTGTGTGGTAAAAGTGAATGCTCTATTTTTAGGCACGCATTTGTTTGTGGACGAGGAGCTTACCTGCAGGCAGCGTGAAGGTGACCAGGTCAGTGAGGAAGTAGCAAGTGAAGTCTCCTTTGCGCTGGTGAAGAGAGGCTGCCACCTCACGACGGATCTGCTCCGTCAGCTCAGGGCAAACCATAGCTGGAATACACTTGGCCGCCTGCTGGGACACCTGCAGAGACAAGAGGACAAAGGGATCGAAAGAGTATGAATCACAGGGAGAGAACAGAGCGGGAAGATTTCAACAGAATGTTTTATGTCACAAGTCAAAGCAATTTGAAAAAAGCCTGTCCCTGAAGATAAACCACTGAGGCAGAAGAGGAATAAAATCAATTCACTGGCTTCAGCCATTTAGAAAATAAATCACTTGTAACTTTAATAGTGTAGCCTGAGCACAGGTGTTAAGAAAAAGACACCAGGAATGGTGTTTTCTGCTGGTCGAGACAAGCATTTATTCAATAAATAATTATTAAAATATAATTATTAAAATGCATCAAGAACTAAAGTGGTTTTAAACCACGAAAGGTTGCAGAAATCCCACATTTGTTCGCCTTAGAGTGTCAAAAGGAATCCAAAAAGCTTTTTAAAAAGCTGATGGTTTTAAAACGTTTGAGGGACATGATCCAAATATTACTCATTGACCCCACGAGAAGAGAAAGCTGGGCATACACAGAGAAGGAGGAAAAGCATAAATACAGGTAATCTGGGATAACAGTATGGAAGTTATGAGAGCTACAATCAGCACATGAATATACATGTTTAAGGTTTGTGCACTTGTCTAAGTTACAATCTATTATTATTATTACGAGCCATGTATTTACATTGTACACAGGACTTATAAATGTCCAGTTTGTCTCCACTGACCTCTGTGAGCAGCACTGCCAGCATGTCCTGCCTCTGGAAGCGAATGGCTAAGTGAACCAACGTGAAGCCGTCATCAAAGGCTGAGGGCCGATTTAACAGGCGCACCTCGTCTGATGACAGTTGTCGTGCTATATCACCTCCGGATGACTTGTAAGCTTCCACAGCTGCCAGGTCGCCTTCAACAACGCCTTTCAGACAGAGACAGAGAGGAAATGTCACAAAATATTTTAAAAAGATTAATAAAAGGGTTAACGTAGACATCATTTCAAAGTAAGACGTCCTTTTTTGCATCCCGCCACATCAAAGATGTTTGACGTTGAAGAACCAATTAAAAATGCACAGTTTGAAGAAAACACACATTTAATTAGGAGTCTACACAAACTCCCATTTTGGCTTCTTAACCTGTTGTGCAAATTTTCTTTAAACTGAGCTAATAGGTAACATAAAGGAGTTCATGCATTCATGTTTAATTTGAAACCGTTTCTTTATGTAACTGAACTTTATGGGCAGATTTGAGAATACCTTGTGTAGAGGACACCATGCTCTGACTAACTGTATGAAATGCCAGTGATCAGCATGTTCTTTATCTCTGAGGCAGCTGTTACAGCTCTGAGTTTTCTTTATCTCTATGGCAGCTGTAACAGCTTTGAGACTTGACTGACTTTGAAGTCAGACAATCAGACAATAGGGGACAACAACGTAATCTGTCGGTTGTTTCTTTCCCCTTATGTCTTAACACGAGGGCTGAGGGGATATGTTGGGTCTGATACTAGACAGTCGCGGCTTTTCTGTGCTTTCTTTAAGCACAAAGTGCAAATATTAATCAGTGACTTCAGTACACAAACCCCAGAGCTGGTGGGTTCACAAAGGTGCACTGGGCACAGAAACAAGATAAACTGAGATCCAGTATTCTGCTTTGACAGCAGGTGATGGAACAGCTGCTAAACATTTGAGTGAAACACACTATCTTTTGCCCATAAACTCACATACCTGATGGTCAGACAGTAACCACTCAAAGCACAGCCCTGTATTTCAATGTGAGACAGAGAGAAAAATAGGTGGGCGGTGTGCATGTAGTGTGTGCACAATAGTGAATAATCCTGAGAGACTAGATGATGGGGATATTTTCAGTCCAACTCCTAATACAAAGCAAAAGCACACACTGTTAAAACTTGCCTCAGTGAAATGACAACTGCTTTGTGATCAGCTTAACACATCGTAAGCTTTTGGAACATGAAACAGCAAACAAGCCAGAAGCCCAGTGGGACAGAGTGACTTACTAACAGTTTCAGGAGAAGTGTACCATCATCGTGACATAATAAATTGCACATTAAAGTGAAAACTACTTTCAATACCTCCTAGTTATTCAATCCAGATTTTTCGCCCCATTTCCAGTAGATACAGTATTTGCCCATGTGGTGCCCTCTCGCACATTTGAAAGGATCGACCGCTGTTGCGCTTTTGTTCTGGCGTCAAAAGACCACACACAATGTTCAGCTGCGTGATCCGTGTGTGAGTGAAAGCTAGAGACATGGAGTGGGTGGAAAGCCTCGCTGTGCCATGTGGAGCTGGCTGGCACAGAGATAGACAAGGAGAGGAACTACACAATAGCAGCACAGTGTGATAGAGAAGGATCACAGCCACTTTCCACAAAATACTCCATTAGTGTGGGTGTGCCGTTAGCCCTGCAGTCGGAACCGTACTACAGATCCTTTGCTGAACTCAAACGGCGCTAATACACAAAAAGATGTACAGTTAAAGAGTAAAGCCTTAGGACTGAGTGGATGGGGTTAAGCGATTGTAGACTTCCTGCTCTCAACAGTACACTCAGCTCCAAAAATCTGAAAAGTGGTTGCTTGTTTACAGGAACGTTAACACAAATGCTGGCCTTTTAAAGTCTGCTCAGCCTGCTAAACCAGCCACTCCATGAGCGTGATGCGATGCAGAGGCCCGCGTATATAATTACTATCTGCTGCTTCTCATGCATATTGTTCCAGTGGAGCAAAAATTAAATGTTAAAATCAGCTCAAATCAAAGCAAATACGGTTTTCAACTTTTCCACATTCTACTCAGTGTACAGAAAGATTGTTTTTTTCAAGTCTACGGCCATCTTCTTGGCTGTTTGACAAATTTCTTTTATATTTTTGCAGTTAGGGTACTAAAAGATGGTAATATAAGATAATAGTATATAAATATGATATAACACTTTTTGTTGTGGAAACTAAACACAAGCTTGCAAAATACATCTCCATAGCTTTAAACTGATTTGGATTCTTTCTTTTTTTGTTTACATCAGTTTAATCACCTTAGAAAAACATGGATATGGGTTTGTTTGGTATAGTCACATCCTTTGTGTTCATAGGCCTTCTTTTACAATGCTGCTCTTTCGTTTCACATTGCATTAAACAAATGCTGTGCCTTTGTTATCAGAGCAAAGATGTACTGCCATTTAAAGCTTCTTTAACAGCGGAAAAAATGGAAGTCGGGCAATTAACCTGCACAAACATAAACTCATTGGGACAAGGCTGACGGTGAATCTCGCCTTTGGTGTAACAAGGTTACAAGTCCCCAAACAATACAAATCCAGCCAACATCAGCTGGGTTTAGGGATCTGTGAATGAGTCAAGCAAGATGTCACTGATGCCCGTTACCTGGGTCATGTATTTTAGTAGATGCTCTGCAGGAAAGGTGAGCATCTATCAAAGTTGAGCTTACAGTTTGATCTGACTTGTATGGCCAGAACCAAAAACTGACCGCGCTGCAAAACCCACTGAAACACAGCCAAGTTGCACAACAAAACTTATACAAACAAGAGCCGTGTCAGCGTCAGCAGGTGTCATAACTATATGTTATTCTAAAGCATTTTATAGATTATTTTTAATCTAGATGCTTTGGGTAATCAGTAATAATTTACCAAGAAAAGGCAGAGTTTGCTGTGCAGACTGAGCTATTCCATGAGAACAGAATGCAGTGTGTGAATAAATGTGCATTTTCTGAACACATGGACACCAAACCAACTGTGAACAATGTCAGACTTGGATTTCATTCCCTTTACTGAACGAGAGGGAAAATGATTGATTCATTTTTTAAACGACTGCAAACCTTTGCATAGATACACCCGCTGACATTAAACACTGCCCATTCGAGACTTGCCAGGGATGAACCAAACAAACAAAAGGGACTATAACCTGTCACAATTGTTATGAGAACAAGTCCGGAAGCAGGAACTAACTAACTGCTGGGATTTCTTTATTATAGTTATATTTTCATATTCATAATAGCATTTCTTTTTGCTTTGTGGGAAAATGTTTATTAATTTGTTCATTTGAGGGGTTATCGTCTAAATCTGTGGCTGTTTAACTTGTGGTGCCAATAAAACTAAGAATAGCTGTCTTTGAAGGAGACGGAATGGTGAAAAGGTCAAGGAGTTTGAAACGTCCCTACTTTACTTTAAACTCTACATTCTTGATCCAAGCACAGGACACAGAGTGAGACAGGTGTACAGGCTCTAACCAGTGTAAAGGTAATGTTTAAGGACAATGTTTGTGTGGAGACATTTTACTGGCTAAAGGTAGAGGAGTTTTAACCATGCACAGAATGCCAGCATCAGTAAGACCCTAATCAGAACCATCTGGATACTGCTACATGAACTACAATCTAACCAATTACCTTGAAGATTGTAAAACCATTCAACTGTCATATAAATGAACAATGAATACGAGTTGATTATATTTCAGTGAAACACATTTTCTCCCAACTTACCAACACAAGCATTTAGGAACAGCCAATCCGTCCGTCTCATTCTGTTCTTAATTTGTTTCAGTTTTTTGAAATCCACTTCCAGCTCCTCTTTGCTCCCAATCCCAGCCCCTGATGCAAGTTCAATCCTCTGAAAGTCCATGTTCACTTCGGACTCCCGCTTTGTCGCCGGGGGTGACCTCCTCTGGCTGCTGCTACAACTGCCAACAACACTTACCAAGCCCCCCACCCCCCTCCTGTTACCCCTGTCATGTTCATTAAGTATTGAGGATGGCTGTTGGCTCTCAGGTTCTGATGCCAGTTCGATGGATTCAGCTAGCAAACCAGTAGGCCTGGGATGATCACACACAACACACTTGAGCGCTTTGGCCCAGTTCTCATAAGTGCAAGCAGTGCAAGTCCAGTGCTGTGAATTAGTGTTGATCCTGTTGCGGTCATTATATTCCTCACAAGGGTCTGTAGTTGAGGCTGGAGGACCGGGGTGGCATCCAGAGCCCGAGGTTTGGGGTGATTCTGTGGGGCTTCGTGGCTGCTGGGTATGGTGTCCTTGGTGGGATACATGCTGCCCAAGCTGTTGCTGTTGAGCCTGGTGCCTCTGGCACAGGCACTGTGTGCAACGGATAGCGCGAGGCCAGTTCAAGTAGGTACACATATGACATGACCACTTGCTACTTGTCTCAGGTACATCAGAAATACGAACGCGCGGTCGGGCGCTGGAGTCTGGACAAATAAGCAAGCTGGATCCCCCTTGAGATGGACTGTTGCTCAGACCTGCGGGATCCCACTGATGCAGGCTGGCATCCAGGGCAGGGCTGCTCTTAAAGGGCTCCTCAGTAATGATGGCACCCCCGCTGGGCCTCTGAGCGCGGCACATGGTGCACTTGATGGCTGACGGCCAGTTCTCGTATGTGCAGTATTCACAGGCCCACTTGGCAACCAGCTCGCTCATCGTCGCACCGCCACTGAGGGAGGCTTCCTGCCGTTCAGAGGGACTGTCAGCCCGGCAGATCCACTTTCACGGAGATCACACAGCAAGCACTACACTGGAGTGGGGAAAAAAAAGAAAAGGTAGAATATTTGAGGTAAATATTTCAATGTTACACCAAATGATAGATTGAACTTGATTAGATTCAATATAAAAAAAGCTCCGCTCTTGATCTAACACATGGAGAGGCCACAAAGCAGAACGCAGAAGTGAAGCTGAACCTAAATGCCAGAACTAATCCGTGACATATTAGTTATGTTCTGACACTGACTTTAAACACATACAGTGATATATATACATGGTAGGGAACGATGCCCTACAACCGAGCAGGGTAACAGGAGACTAGGACGTACGAAACCCGACACTCCGCTGGGAAGCGTGTGACTTGTAAAGAAGCACTGAAATTATGGATGGATTATGAGACATCAACCCCCCAGCCATAAACATATATGGCCCCCACCCACACCAGACTAAAAGAGATGCTAAATGTCTGTGAAGTCATTTTGTTTCTGTATTGTTACGCCATTCCATCTTAATGTGCACTTTTCTGCACCTCTCCCTTGGAAATCGCCTCACCCATTATTTTTTACCTTTGTATGGAATTTGCATATCTTTATATTCATGTGATATCTGTTTTTACTCTGTATAAATTCTCTCTCTATATATATATATACATATATGTAGATATACATAAATAAATATACACATGTATAAATATGTGTGTATTACACATATATGAATGATGGTGTTTTCTAGCTCGTGTCTTCTAGGTTTATTTACATTGTATGGTACTTTTTGTACAAAGTCAGCGAACATTTAAATATTTTGTGTTTCATGGTTTAATTCCCCATTTTTCCCCCAGCAATGTTGACCCTCTTACAAAAACAAACTTTCTCTATTTTTGGTAAAGCTCAGGGCTCTGGCTCGCTGCGCTCCTTGCACAAGTTGTGCTTTCAACGGTCCGTCTGACGGAAATTGAGTTCTTCTAAAAGCCTGTTTTCACCTGCATATGAAACGGGGTAACCCACAGCGCCTGTTTCAAATCCTGAGCATTATCAATAGGAGGAGAGCTGTTTACAGAAAGTTAGCTGGCTGTTCAGAGGGGAGTAACACTGCCGTGTTTACACCACGCCTTCAAGTTTACCTAACACCGTGTGAAATTCTCCAAATTTGATAATGACCATCAGTTTGGTGGTCTGAAAACAAAGCTAACAAAAAGACATTTGAGCGGACTGGAGAACTCACATTCAACCACTTTAGTGGTTACTAACATTTAGTTAACGGCTTCGGCTTAAACAATTTAGTAAATTGATTTAAATGACTGGTCATGGGGCGTAATTTCTAGCTAATAATAATAATTAACTAACAAACTACCTTCCGGCGCCGTAGTGTTTGTTACTATAGCCACGGTTAGCTGGTAGATGTTTTACCTGACCACCAGCGGTTTGTTCTGTTGTCACCCAGAAATCGTAGCCAAGCTAGCAGGCTGCTTGCTACGTTACGGGATTACGCTTTACTCGTAACTGTCTGAGAGGCCCTTATCGACTGTACAAGAAACAAGAAGCTGGTGTAACCCTCACCTTTGCTTTGCCGTGTTTACACTCCTCCGTCCCCAGCAGAAGCCAAAACAAATGGAGCTCCCCCCCGATAGGAGAAGCCCACTGAAGTCCGAAGTCAGGCTTCTCTCACTTGGACGACACCAGCCGCATATTTAGTACTTTGGGGTGCCGTTTTACTGGCAGTGGAGGATCCATACATACCAACAAGCAAGAACCCCCCCAGGCCCGTCCCTCGACCGTTGGTTTCGATGTTCTAAATCATTTTAATCCTTTTCCCAAATACCAGGCTCACGGACTTTAATGGCGGCATTGGGGGAGGGAAGCAACCGGAGTAGGGCCGAAAAATACACTACAGGGGAAAGCGGAGGGCTCAGAGCCGTGTTACAGTCAGAGGCAGGATCAGGATTTACCACCTGAATCTGCCAACTAAGCTGATTGGCCAGCACCAAGGGATACACAAAAATTGACCAATCAGGTTCTACGTCTCTCATTCCAACTATTAAAAGGCTCGGCGAATGCAAAACAAACCGTGACAACTATAACAACAATGGAGCTTGGAGGTTCTATTTTTCTTTTAAAGGCAGGGTTTCTGTTATTATCATTTAACGCATTGCTTTTCAATTTGTGCATTATATATGTATCTGTGCATCCGTGGAAAAAGGACCACGTGGTATCCCCTCAAAAATGAGGGGATGATGTCATCGAAAAAATACTGCAGCAAGCAGTCTGCAGTAATGCTTGACAGCTTGTGCAACAGTTCACCGCGCTTATTAGTTATTAATAATGGGGAAAACGGGGAAATCTCATTTGCACCATTGTTTACTGGCAATTTTCCCTTTTCCAAAAACTAAAAACAGAGAATGAAAGGCTTAAGCTCACTCTTATAAGTACAGTTATATTTATACGGGGACAAGCAATCAAGCATAAATAACAGACCTGTAAAAAAAATGCAGATTTGTTTAGGCTGTAGTGTTGCAGAAGTTTCTGATTGTAGCTAAACATTTTTTTTAACCTCAAATGAAGTGCAAAAACACATCTATAAAAATAAAATATATTTTAAAAATAAACAAAAACTGCATATTCAAATTGCTACGCCATTTACCATAATAAGGAAACAATGGAACAATATATCACAGATGGGTGTTTCATTTATTATTCCCCAGTTTAGGCATCTTGTCCTCTGTGCTTAATTAAGCAAGTCCTTGGTCAACTTTCAACACGTACATGAATCCAGATAAATGCCAAGATCTAAAGTGTGCTTTAAAGGAGATGTTAATGTTACAATGGCCCACTCTATGGGGTTGTGTAGGGTCACCCCATACAGCAAGAGTACATATGTGTATATTTGTGTTACGTTGGAACTTTAAAAGCTATTGGATTCTAACAATTTTAATCCTCTCATGCTTCATACCAGTGGTCTTCTGCACCAGGGCCTATTGGCTGTCATCCTGGCCATGAGGTGGAGGTTACACCAGAGAAGGCCACAAAGAAATACTTCATTATTTAGGGGCAGACGACCAGAATAAAGAGTGAGGACTAGCGCTGAGAACGGCTGCTCTATGCCACCAAAGCACTCAGCTGAGATAAGCTTGTCCTGTAAGTGCTGTTTAAATGCTATCCCCATTCCCATTGTCTATTATACATTCATTATTCATTTCCACATCATATTCCAGTACTCGAAGAAAACCACACTCCTAACAAAATTATTTTCTCATTTTTTTCTCGTTGTGTGATTGTGTTATTCTGAGTGATCATTAAGCATTTTGAGTGCCAGTTCCTGGTCAGTGATGTATTGGCATTACACATGAGGGCAAGTGACATGACCCTAAGGCAAAAACATGACAAACAGGATGCTGAAATAAAGCAGAGCTTTTTCACAAGGCAAAGTGTCTCCCACCACAAATTATTTTGTGCAGTGCAAACATTTCTCCATGCTAAGTTTAATAGTGTCTAGAATTGACCAGTTCATGCAATGAGGGTGTTCTACACTACCCCAATCAATCCCTTCTTCCTCTGTTGACTTTAAATAAACCAGATGTTTTAAAGCAGTCGTCTGCATGTCAGTCATTCCCATCACCAACTTCACCTTGTAGGTTGTTTATTTACCTGACCTAACTGCCGTTTCATTTTCAAATATTAAAGCCAAGTCACATTTGCAACCATGAGATACAGGTCCACTTAGAAGCAGTCAGTAAGGACTGGAAAAGACAAGGGAAGGAGCTAAGGAAGCAGAAATAGTTGTTGCAAGTAGTAAAAGCATGATATTTTCAGAAAGGAAGCAAATCACCGCAGGACTTATAAACTGAAATATAAACAATAAAATAAAAAGCTGTGAGCCGATTATTGCAATAAAAAAAAAGAAGGCTGTTCAAATTTCAACCATTCACAGGTAACTGTGAATGTGTGTTGTGTGCAGGTAGAAACTGCCCTGAGTGGAAGGCACTGTACGCTGAAGCTAAGTCATGATGTTTGCATCACAAGTGCACAGAACACTGACGAAAACACGAGTACTGCGATGAACTCTGCAGACAGGATGGGGAGTAATTAACCTGTGTCCAAGGTTATAATTCACAAGCCACAGAGGGTTATTGGCCCTCTGTCATGACTTTAAATTGGAGCAAGTCAGAGAAGCGTGGGCCTGAATTGGTTAGGAGCATTGTCAGTAGTATTGAGAAAAACCAGCATGGGAAAATGGAAGTAGCAGCCACTCACTTTTCATATAAAGAACAGACAAATGCAATTTTTAATAGTAGCTCTCTGTGTTGCAGCAGCAGAAGGGAACTTTAAGCATCTGGTTAGTAAAGCTACAGTACACTGTGCTTGCCCTGTGAACCCTGTACAACGCACAAAAACTGAGCTGAGTTTGGCTCAGGGTGGCTAAAGAGGGCTAATCAAGTGGCACAACATGTCAGCATTGGTATAGCACAATAATAAAGGAAAATTCTAAATTTTGTTAAGTGCAGCAAAGCGCATACAATTTCAGTGTTACCCAAAAAAACATGACATTGACACTACAGTCAATCAAACTCAATGAACTATCTGACAAAAAATATATATATTATGTGTATATATAAAGCACCCATCAAAGAAGTGGCAGAGCAAATTTAGCTTGAAATCAAGAAATCACTTAAATAGGCAACTGCATGATTAATTAAAGAGTGTAGAACACATTCCAGAATCAAATGAGAAATGTGCATGATAAAGAAATCATGTCACGCATATAAACCTCTTCAAATGAAAATTTTAAATTAAACAACCGCTTGCCTATTTTGTTTAAAATTGTTAAAAGGCCGCAGAATGCTTTCTCTCTTTGCTTTCTAGGAGGGACTGTTTAAAAAAACAAAAAAAACCCAAGAAAAATAACATAGTGCAAGAAGGGGCGCCTAAAGTTGGTGATGCAAACACAGGACAAAAATGATGCAGAACTCAAACACACGCAGTGTGGGCCTGTCTCAGGGAGCCAGTTTGCCAACCAGCTGGCAAGAAATTGCATTGTAAAATCCATTTCTGACGCGGAAACCTGACAGATCCACACTTGTGCGCCATGAACGCTCACGTTCCAAAGAAACTGTGAAGACGGGCAACGCTTCCCCACACCGAGATGCACCTGCGAAAACCCAAGCAAGGCTTCCCCTTAAAATGGAGATCGGACTACAACGAGAAGATTTACACACAGTGGGACACCACTTGCGCATGCCTTTCACTTTCAGGACTGGCACTTCTTTTGTCTACATTTGCTTATCTTTGATTGCTTAAGATGCCCACCCCTCGAGGCGTGTCACTTATTTGTGTCCCTCGCACCCCTGGTCTGTTTCTATGTGGTCTGTGAGCCGCGGGCGTCCCCATCGGGGCTGAGGGCTGCCGGTCTGCCCTGAGCTAAAACGCCGGCGGAGACCAATGGCAGATGAGCGCCTTCGCTCACTAAATTCTCATATTCACTACTGTCCTCGTCATCTTCGTCCTCCTCCTCCTCATCGTCGTCGTCTTCCTGCCCCGCAGCTTGTCTGTCCAATGAGTCGGAGCTCGATCCGTCACCGTTTCCCAGGTACGGGGTGCTGGGAGCGCTAACGGGATTTGAGGTGGCGCCCAGGCCCAGCCCGAGGCCCAGGCCAAGGCCTGCCCCCAGCGGGGCGGGGGTAGGGTGTCCCGGAGAGCCCACGGCTTGAGGACGGGGCAACAGAGCAGCATTGGTGGGTGGGGAGGAGGAGGAGAGTAGATTGTCATCTTGGGACAAGAGGTCAGTGTAAGACGGTGGGTTTGGCGAGGTACTGGGCCGCTCGGGGGCAGAGGGCGTCTGAAACGTTATCCAGGACAGACGGGGCGCCTTAGAGGGTTCTGTGTTCTCCTCTGGAGTGGAATGGAGGTCGGCATTTTGTGCGTCACGGAGCCCTGTCCGACAAAAAACAAAAGGTGCTGCGGGTAAGAAAAAAATCAATTCTGTGGACGTAAAAGAAAGGTCTGACAGAAAGAGGTCAAAGAATTTCCTGCTTCACTTATTGCCATTGGTTTCAAACCAGTTTATGCTTCGAACACCTAAACCAACAGGTTGGAAACTTAACGTTCATACATACTTCTCTCCTCCTCTGCAGTTTTGTGCTTCCTGAGAGCTATTTGTTGTTTGAGTTTGTTGACGTCCTCTTGAATCTTTTCTTTAATGCGTTCACTTTGTTCTACCTCCCCACACACCGCCTACAATAAAGGAGAGCACAGGTGAAACACTTTGTTCGCTTCGAGCTTCAGGAATAAGCCGCCAAACACGGGAACTCACCTGGACTTTTTCTTGAAGCACACTGTAAACTTGGTATATTGTTCGGATATCCTTCATCACGCCGTCTTTGTCAAAAAACTCAGTCCTGTAGACACAAATGTGATAGGGACTTTAACTCCATCTTTTAGCAAAAAATATGACACAGTATAAGTGATACCTCTTTATTTGAAATCAAGGACATACTTTTAAACTTTTAAGAGCACCACATCTATTGTTGTTAGACTGTAGTTTCTGTCTACATCAAAACTAAATAAAATGGTCGAGTGGAGCTGGTAAGTGTGTTATGAGTGGATGGACAGGCCTCACTAAATCCCAACAGTCTAAGTTTAGACACAAAGACACAGAAATACAAGCCAACGCATGTGTGGGCTGTCACATACCGGCCTTCCATCGCAGCCAGCCACCGGCACATGTCTACCGATGCTACCTACACAGTGTCAAATATAAACCACAGCCCTCTCATCCACCCGGAAACAGGCGTCTTCAGAGAACTGGGTTTGCGCATGCCAGAGAGAACAAGACCCCAGAGAGCCTCGGGACGCAGAGCACCCCGTCGAACAGAGAGACGTTTAAAGCTCCCCCCCCCCCCCCCCCCGATACGTCGGGGGGTGAGCAGGGTGGCAGATGAGTGAACCCGTAGTGTTTCATCAGATTAAAACAGGTGGCAACTCCGAGGCCACATATAGAGGGACATGTGACTGCCTTGTTTGCATGGACACGGTCGGGGTGGGGGGACAAAAACTCACCCGTGCTCTTTGATGACCTTGGCGTAGTTGAGTGAGGTGTTGGGTACTGAGGAGACTTTGTATTCCTGCTGGCTTGTGTTGCCGAGGTTTGGGATAGAGAGTGTGATCCTCTGGTTGTACCTACTGAGTTGAGATAGGCAGTTAGCAGCTTCAACACATGTTTTGTCTCCCAAAAGACACAGATTTTTTCACGATGACAAAAATAAAAAGGTAAATCACATCACACACTTAACATTCAAGGCCTTTGTAGCATGGGGTTAGTGTGTGGGTTACTGTGCTATGTGAACTGCATGCTGTTTTTAGACATTTGTTGTTTGCTATAAATGCAACTCAATGATTTAACCATTTCAACTTTTAGCCTCAGTAGGTTAAGGGTTAATAGGTAATGGTCCACATTTACATTGTGTTTTTCTCGTCTTATCATACCATCAGTGACCTTTACCCACGCAAACCACATTCAACAAGCAAAGATCAACAGACAATTCAGGGTCCAGTGTTTTTTCTTTGAAGGTAATCCACTCTCCATGAACCAGTAATCTAAAGGTCTCTGCGCACTAAACATCCACTTAGTGAGCGACCAACGCTATGACCTGAGCTATGCATGCTGACTTTGTCTTCTTTACATTGACAAAGGCGGGAATTTATGTTGAGGGTTTGTCATTTCTTCTCAAGAACTGTTGAGTTGGAAATGACAGAAGGGAAGAGACACACAGGTAACAGAAGCAGTTGGATTTCAAAGTAGAGAAAGTTAGTCTGCAATAATCAGAAACCAATCTGACAAAAATCCCATATATTATTATATTACCTGCGGTTTGGTCTGAAGAGCACATATTCCAGTGCATGTGTGGAGCTGTTGGCTGTAGAGATGAAGCTGAAGAGAAGGAAGACGAGGTCGGGCACGCCAAGAAGCTGAGTCAGCTGTTTGTGGATGATCTGCTCCCTGAATGACATCTGCTGCTGTGTGTTTCTTCGGAACCGGTACCAACCGATGACATTCTACAAAGCCAAACAAGAAAAAAAAAGTAGATGGAGTTTGACTGGTTATTACAAACAGAAGAATTATTGTGTAACTTAAATTTGTACTTAATAATAACGTAAACAAACCATCAAAGGCTATTTAATGAAAAGAAAAAGCAGATTTCTCCACTTTTTTTTTCCATTATAGCCTCTGTGCAAATAAGATTACACTTAACAGGAAACAATTCCCATGTTTGTTGGCACAATAATTTATACAATGACTCACTTTCCGCCTTTCTTTAAGAATGCTGTTGAGATTTTCTTCGCTGACCTTGCCAGCGTAGTCATAAAAGCTGATGAGGGAAGAAAAAGGAATGAAAAACAAGTAAGTTAAAACCCCTTCACCATTATCCTACTCTGCCAAGGCCCTGCCCTGTTACCTAGCCTTGTCAGATGGAGCCATCTACTGTTCAAAGTCACATCTTTTCAGCCTGTGTTGACATGGACAAGGCAACTGATATCACTATTTAAACTACCACTATATTTCCATTGGCTACAATCTAGAAATTAAGTCCAGCAATAAGTTAAGAGCTAGATTACCGTTTCCTTAAGCTTCTACTAAAACTGTTGCACTACTTTTTTTGTCTTTTGAAATTCACAACAGCACAACACAAGTACAAATGATTAAATAACACCACATATACAGACAACAGCAATAATTGCTTACCTAAACAACTGTGCACAAGGATCATGGTTATGGATTTCTGGTGGTAAAGAACAGTAAAAGATGTTTAATTCAAACACAACCATATAGAGACTTTAGCACAAAAATGATTAGTGGGGTTTTAAATTAGAATGAGAAAGAATTTAACTTGGTCTATGTTTTAATTGACTGAACAAGTCAACTCAGTGACATTCTTGGAATATTGTAGGCAATAGCATGTGACTTCTACTCATTTTGTCCTGTCACTGCAATATACCGTAGCTGTTACAACAGTAATAACTTTTTTCTTTTTTTCTTCTTTATTGTTCCACACCAAGACCCCGACAAAGTCATAAATGGAAAAACAGCTTTGCATGGCTGTATTTCTTACCTAAAACCTGCACCAGTTCTGCACTGCTGATCTGTGTGTCACTGATGCTGACAGTTTCTTCTTGCCTTACATCTCCTAGTAGGAAGCCCTCCTGTAAAAACACAAATCTGGGGTTAAAGTAAAACATTAAGGTGATATAATTGGTAATCAAAATAATCCACATGAACAAATTAGTGCCAAATGTTATTAATTGCTTAAATAGGTAATCAACTATTCTATTATAATTACGCTTATGATGTCAGCCAAAAAAATCCAACTACTAAATAAATAAATATCTGCCAAAAATATTAATGATTTATAAAAACTACAAAAAATATATAAAATGATATTTGGTTAATTATAGCACCTGAATTATTGAACATTTAATAAATTGAGTTTCACTTTAATCAAAGTTTGCCTTTATGCTTGCAGGCTGAAGTATTTGTAACAAATAATGCAGAAAATCGTTTAAAATGAAGGCACTGATCGAGCTCATTTATGTGGGATTCTTTAGTAATTTAATTGTTGTCTTTGCAGGTTGAACTCAGTAAACCTAGAAATCTAAGAATCTATTCGCCATTAGTTGAAGAATATCAGGAATACAAGCAACCATCTTCTTGCTTTTGCCAGGAATGCAGGCAAACTTGTACCAAGGCTAACAGCAACTCACAACCAGCCCAGGCCGACTTCTTAAAGTGTCGACAAAAAAACAACAAAAAAGAATGCAAACAGCGTTAGCTCAGCCTGCTTGGCAGTTCGAGATTTCTTTCAAAAGTTGTCACAAAGCATTTTCCTTCTCCGAGTAGCAACGATAAACAGAATAAAGATGAAAGACAAAAAAATATTCTATTTGAACTGATTTGAGTAAAAATGACATTAGCAAGCTTGCTAGCAAGCTAATCTAGCACTGTAAAACTATTTAGGACAAAGTAGCTTCTCATTCAATCGTTATAGAAATTAGTTTATTATTCAATTGCGTCACGTTATTTTTGACAATATACCAAATTCTTATACGAATACAGTTCAAAGAGGTCGCAGATGTAAACTGTACCAATACACGGAAGTTATTTGGCTTGGTAGCTTCGCTAAGATGCTAAGTAGCCAACACTAGCGGTATTTCCTGGAATTCCAACTTTCTCAATTGCATTGAACGTGCTATTGTAGCGTTAGTTAATAATTGCAGCTTTTGACACTAGATGGTTCACATACATATGTAACACATGCAAATGAAGAACACAAGATCGTATTATGATCACCAGTGCTGTCTTTGTATTTCCCTAGCTACATAGGCTGATTGGACCACACATGCCAGTAGATAGACGGGACCAATACTAGCTAGCCAGCAACAGGATGATGACATTAAAAAAAACAACACAGTCTAATGCAAATATTGAACAATCAGATACATCCCCAGACGGAATATGATTTAGTAGCAACTACGCAGCAGTTTTTGAAAAATAATTATGAACACTTACATGATCTGAGTTGCTGTTGGCGCTGTGATAACACACAGAACTAAAAGTATAACCTGAAATGGATGCCGCCATGATGGAAACATCCCTATCAATCCCAGTGCCCCCTGCGCTTGCAGGTAGCCTCATAGCCTCTTCGTTCGCAATATCTTCTGGGAAATGTAGGCTCTGGTTTGACTCAGCGTCCACAGCAGCATGGAAGACACCACGGAAGACTCACATGGCTGTGGAAATGCAACGCACTCAGAGGGAGAAAGATGTTCAGATAACGATTTTGGTACGTCGAAACTCGGAACAAAAGAATAGTAAGTATTTATAATGTTACAAAAGAAGCTTATCAACATTAGACTGCGACGCTACCAGTGACAGTGCGGAAGCTAGCGTTTGCACCTCTTAAAAGCCGGTTTAGTCTACGATGAAGCATCTTGTAAAGTGGGATATTCCAGATGTCATGTTTATGTTTGACAGTTATTTTAATTCGACCATTTTTCTGTGATGGTAACTGAGGGAAAGCTTGAATTTTACAGGCATCTATCATGGAAGCTTGCATGGAAAACATTAGCTTTATACTTCATATTGTAACTTTAGAAGACTGTCTGGTTATTTGTTTCTAAATCTTACGGAAACGACCATTTGTAGTATTTGTTAAAACATTTACAAAATTGGTTGAAAGTGGTTGTCCATATCTACAGTTGGGAGGAGGCTTACCAGAGAGAACTGGAGACATTTAAAGACATAGGAGATGTTGGAGAGATATGGTAAGAGAAAATGATGGAGCCAGAGTTTTATAAAAAAGATTTTTAGATGCATTTTGACCAATCAAATGTAAATAATTTAACATTTGACCGGCTACTGATTAGTTCACCACGAGTGATGTAAAGATTTCAGAGTTCATATCTAAATACTAAATACTTTGGTGACAGATTTTCTTGCAGTGGATTTAATAGAAAATTCCCACTCTGTTTTGCTCAGAGAATGTGCTTGTTATAAAAAGCAATTTACTTAAACTGATATTTCTTGAATCAAACCTGGATTTCCATTGTTTGATGCTGTTTATTCTTCTGCTTAAATGTTCCTGTTTTTGTCCTCTGGTTCTGGTCAGGTTTGGTGAGGAAAGCATGAGACGTGTGCTGCGATGGATGGACAAAGCTAAAATCCCTGAAAACGCTGCCATTCTTGACATTGGCACTGGAAATGGAGCCTTTTTAGTTGAGCTGGTGAGAACAAAGGAAACGCAGGCACTTTATTTGAACAAAGTAGAGTAAAAAGGCATCTTTTAAAGATGAAGGATTTACTGCGACAACAAATTTTACCCAAACATTTCTGTTCCTGTTAATAACCCTTTTCCTTCCCTTGGTTCCTTTGTTTTGCATGTCCAGGCTAAGCACGGTTACAACAATCTGACTGGAATAGATTATTCCCCAGCATCTGTAAAATTGGCAAGAAGTGTCCTGCAGGCAGAAGGCTTGACTGATATCACTGTAAAGGTGGGCTTGTGTGTTTTTTTTAAGCCACAGACTCGCACTTGCTCTTGAATATATAAATATTGAGCCACTTAAGGGATGGAATAACATTATGTGAAGTCCTGACAGACAGTGAGTTAAAAAGAAAAACTTCTTCTTCTGTGTCTCTTACTCCCCTACAGTTTGCAAATCTTTCCTGTAGTGGTCCCTTTTTATTTTCCTGTGAAAAGTCGCTACAACAGACTTGAGCCAAACAAGTGTGGTTGGACCTCCCAAGAGGGGAAAAGTCAGAAGCTCAACTCAAAACTGAATGCAGAAAATCATTCGTCAGCCTCAGACTAAAGGTTCTTTTGAAGTCATTACAGTTCCAAGATGAAAGCCGCATTTTAAAAAAGAAAATGCATTAGGATTAGTTGAATTGTCTGCTTCAAAATCTGAGGATCTGTGTGTGTGTATGTGCCGGAATGTTCTCAGACTGAAAGAGACGGTGTTGGAGAGACACTATTTGAACTTATTACTGCTTTATATAAATATCTGCTGATGTAAATGCTGTTTTCTACTTTTTTTCTCACCTTTTTACACTTTCCAAATAGTGGTGTGATGTTTTGCGTGCATTGTGCATGCTGAGTGAGAAGGACAGGCCTTAGATGCTTCCTTCATCCCCATTAACTGGCAGAAATGAGCATATGCATGCATAAAATGCCAGTTATAAATGCTGGTCTATAACACTTGTGATAAGGAAGCTTTCCAAGTTGGCATGCATAGACACTTATAAATGGGTGTGCTTTGCTCGGGCAAGGGGGCTGCTATAAAAAGTCAATATTGACCTTTGCTGGGCACCGAGAGCACAGAGGTGTGCATACGAGAGAGGAATGTTGACTTCTTGATCATTTTTGCAGTGCTGGAAACTGCCAAAAAAACATTTAGCGTGCTTGTCTTTCAGGGGGCAACTATAGCTTTTAACCTATGTCATTTACATTAGTCACGCTCTGCATCAGGATCTTCCAGGGTTTTTCCATCCCACTTGTTCTCACTGAGGTCACTTGCAGAAATATGTACACATCTGTGTTTGCACTGAATCAGTGTTGCTCCTCCTGCATAGACCTCATAGTTTGTGACCGGTGCCATATGAGTGTGCAGCTGTAGAATTCTCTCCGGAGGTCTGGTGTTCTGCCTTCAGTCTAGATAAAGAAGTCCTTTCACTGATGACGCGGCTGGTTAGGAGCTTCTTCAGAATTAGCGGCTGTCACATCAGCAGTTGGAATTTTATACACAAATTCAAATGAAACACATTTTGCTCTGGTTGGTGTCGGTTGATCTCTTCTACAGCATCACGTAAGACATTATGGTAAACATAAAGTCATATATGTTGTGAAATCTGACTTTTTCCTTGATTTCAGGAGGTGGATTTCTTAAACAGCCAAGGGGACCTAAAAGAGTTTGATGTCTGCATCGACAAAGGAACATTTGACGCCATTAGCTTAAACCCAGATGACACAAAGCAGGACAAAAAACTGTATGTCCAAACTCTAAAAGAGGCTCTTAAAGACAAAGGTTTCTTTGCTATTACTTCTTGTAACTGGACAAAAGAGCAGCTGTTGGAGAGATTCAGTGAAGGTGAGAGAAAATCACCTATTACATGCCTGGCAGTATCTTTTACACCTACTTAATGTGTATTTATTTATTTATGTTTTTTTTTTAAATTCAGTGAGACATATTATTTTTCTTTCTTTTTTTTTACACAAATAATTATCCTGCAGATTGTAATCTTAGATGTAAAGACTTAGATTTAGAATACTGAAGACAGATTAGAATTTCCTTCTTATTTAAAGGCTTCTCTCAAATCTTTCATTTTAAAGTGGTCGAGTTGATAAGAAAATGAAAACCGATATAAGATAAGCTGACGTTATTTTTTGTGAGGAAGGGGTGTGTGTGTGTGTGCATTTAAAAACAGGTAATCGGCTTAGTCTTAGTGTTCTGCCTCTGTCAAAACACAGACGGTCCTCAGACCACAACAGGTACCTGGCAGTTTGTTGACCAGCAAACAGCCTGTAAAGTTAGAATTTCGGCCGGCTTCCATTTGCTGTCACTCGTCTCACTGCAGTCACTTTGGAGAACCTACAGGGGGCCAAAGAGCCTCAAGATGTCATCTCTCACACTGACAGCCTGTCTTTACAAGGCCCCAGGAAGCAGCACAGATGGTGTATGGATAGCCGTTTACTCACAGCTCAGCTCCTAAACCTTTTTTTAGCTACTTAGCCAGAGTCCACATGAAAAGACTTTCCCCCACTTTGCCCTGCGCCCATTTCCTAACCTGCATGATTTCTCTGTGTTCCCCTCCAGGATTTGAGTTTGTACAGGAGTTGCCTACACCCAGTTTTCAGTTTGGTGGCAAGAAGGGCAACAGTGTGGCTGCACTCGTCTTCATGAAAGTACATGAACATGTAACCGACTGAAGACATGTCTTTTTATTTCTTTTTTTGTTTCTTTCAGTCTTGGGTTTATTAGTTCTGCAGCACGTTTATACTCATTAAGACTTTTTTAAACATTTTCACACAAGACTGGAATATGTTTGGGGGTTTTTTAGATCATAATGCACACATATTTTCTTTAAATAAATGTTTTATTTACTAAAATTACAGACTGTTTGTTTTTCCTTGAATTTGCATCTCGATTTGAATTGATATATTACCTCTTCTTTTTAACCCAGGTTTAATAAGTTCTGGCATAAAAAGAATTCTTGGGTGATCTCTAAATCCTTTTGTACCTAGTGTTACCTTAAATTGATGTATAACTTTCCTAAGGCTGTCTGCACCAGTAAGTCTGGAAGACAATCATTCTGTTTGATTTGATTTGCAATCATGAGGTCAGCGGGAAGATATATGATCACTATTCTAAGGCTAAAAATGGACAAAAAAAGGCCAATGCAGTAATTTGTCCTGGATATTTTTTTCTCATTCCATAAATCATTAAGTAGCCCCTAAATTGCATTACAATGACTCTGTTAGGAGTACTATCCCACAGAAATCCAGAGTTCTTGTCTGAAAGGTAGTAAATTACATTCATCATTTCAATTGACTAAACTGGAAACCAGCAGCGCCCAGAGTCCCGAGGACCATGATTAAGAACTTCTGACATAATGAATAAACAGGAGGCTGTGACTTGTGTGGGAGAGACGCTTGTCTGCCTTTTTCTTTTTCAATGGCATCATTAATAACTGCCAACCTCTGGATCCTAATTGCAAGCTGCACGGGCCTGTGGCCCAATGGGAGCCCTGCATGTTGAGGCACACTGTTGAGTAAACACGTGTGAGCTTTACAAGACTTACTGCCTGGAAATTTACAAGGCTCTGGATATCCTGCCTGGATGTGCATGTTGTGCCCACATTTACAACTCAAAGAGACTTTCCCATGAAATGAATTGTCCTCCATTGAGGCTCCACTCAGATGAAGATCAAGATCTACCTCAGTATACAGTCAAGCCTATTGTGTCATAGATGTCAAACAAGCGAAGTAGTGGTGTCCTATGTGACCAGAAATGTTACAAGGTTTTATCACATATTTCAATGAGTCATTTGTTGTTTTCCACTCTACACTGTGGTTCTGGTTTTTAACAGTCTTCTGATAAGGTATCAGGTTAAATTATAAACATTAATCACTAAATTTATTTATTTTACTTTTTTAAAATGTCGGACTTTCATGACACATGAAAAAAACGTAGAAAGGTCTTAATTATTAAATGCAACTGATGCAAAGGTGCTACTGAATATTGTAACACGTATTAAGTTTTTTCAGATATGTCAAAGGCACATACAAACTAAGATCACAATTACAGCTGTTCATGTTAAAGCAATGACTATTGATAGAAATTCATTTCTGAATCTATTTTTTCCTATTCTCAATTAGTAATAAAACTCAAGGTTTAACTGGGTTGAACTGAACTTTACATTCACCACCGTCAGCACTTTTATGGTTTTTGGGATTGGCGCACGTTTGAAGTTACACTTTTATTCCACTCATAATGTTAACCCATAAGGTTTTCAACTCCATGCCATAACCCACTGGCTGGCCTACCAGCTCGAATGCCATTCTTTCTTTTTAACCTCTCCAGTGTGATACTGCAAATATTTATGTTTTGCTTCCATCTCTGTGGAAACATACTCGAGCATCTACTAATAAGATATTTGTGGATTGAACTGAATTGCTCCAGCATGAAGCAGTGAACTTTTCCACTGCAGAAAGTGAATGGGAGTAAGGAAGTTTTTCACACTGTCTTTGGAGTGATGTCTGGGTTAAAAAACAAAACGTATCTATACTTTAAAGGGTTAATTCTGCCCAAATTAAAATGAATCAAAGGGAGAAAAGTTTGAAATGAGCAGCTTCAAAGGTATTGTTGGCTATTTTGTTGCACTGACCACTCGGTACGTGTTTGCCCCTTTCACATTAAATACACAGTAATATAGTGGCACATGAGTAAATGCCTAAGGGAGGCGGACCGCAGTGGGATGTACCAACTCAGAAAGGATGGGGAAATAAAGTTAGCTGCCATTAATATATTCTTCTATTTGGAAATACTCACGTAATATTTTTTTTGTTTTGAATCAACAAAAGCATCATTAATAACCAGGTTTCCCCTCCATTTTGCCACAGCCCAAATAACGCAAGTTTTCAATTGGCAAAGTTTCCTCGAATTCACCCTTTCGTCCTCGTTCGTGTGAACGCGGATATTGTTACAATCAATGCTGAACGCTCAAGGCAGCAGCTTCGCCCTCAGCTGCTCGCAGTCCTCCTCAGTCCTGCGCTGAGGACGCCGAACTGACGACTGCTACTACGACAAACTTCTGTGAGTTCTTTTCTTTAAAAAAAAAATACCACAGCTTTGTGGAAGATTAACTCGTTTGGGAAAAAAAACTCCGTTCACCAGGTAGTACTTGTTCAGTCTCGTGACTGTTTTACCTGCTCAGGCATGCATCAATATATTTCTTCACTTACTCTGGAGTTGCTTATGTTGGATTTCCACTCAAATCTTGTAAGGGTATTAGGGCAATGAGCCCGAGAGATGGTGTAATGTGTTGTTAAATATATTGTTGTAATTTCAGGACAAAGGCATATACTTTCTGGAGTGTAGCTGTTTAATTAATGACTCCAGGTTATTGTCTTGCCTGTTGATCAATCTGAAGGTTTTATTCTTTTATAACAGTTTCTGCTTAAATTTTTTTTAAAAAAACTTGCGTGAGATTTGTAGAAATGGTACACTGAAGTTCTTTGAGGCTGTAAACCCCCTTCCATCTTAGATGATTTTAGATGAAAAGTTAGTGTCACGTCAGCCTGGGTGAAACTTTTGCTACAGATAGAGTACCTGGATGTGGAGGGGCAGTGTGGTTTCTCTGCAGCATGTATTGACACAGAGCTCCTCACCACAGCTTGTGGGAAGAAACCGAGTGAGTCTGAGTGTGTTGATTCAAAAGTTTCAGTTGCATATCTCCCCCCCGGTTTGCACCAGCCTTACAGCCTTTTGGTCTTTCTTCTCATATTGGTATGTGATTGTAACATCTTGTTGCATTTTTTAGCATGGTTCATCAGAGGAAGAGTTATTTTACGCTGTGTTTTTGCCACTCCACTCCCTGTCTGTTTTATCAGCATATGTGTTTTTTGTGCTTTATTTTCATTCTTGGATTTAAAATGTACAGAGTGTTGCTGAGAATAGAAAAGGTACATACATTTGTGTTATTGTGGATTAAAACTAAAACCAAAATGATCAGAAATGAAAAGAGCGTTTGGACAATAAATTATCTGCTGACATATAGATGAGGCCAACCACACCAAGATAATTTTGCAATATCTTTATTGCAGTCTTGGTTCACTGAAAGCCAATGAGCTCAGAAAATAGAGCACCGTGGTAGCAGAGCGTAAAAACTGCTTATTTGTCAGTGTGTCCTTTCTCATTGAAGTTAGGAAGTAAGTGTTTGTGGTTATGTTTTGCCATGATCATTATAGCACAATAGTTGGTTGATCTTTGTTGACACCACAAACCAGAGAACAGGTTTTGTACCAAGATGCCCAAAGTGAAAATACCTGGAAAGGTTTTTTGATGCCACCATCGTGGTGATTGTCCTTGACATGTAATGAAGACGGGTTAATTTGGCCAGCAAAACAGGAAATGTGACTGTTTGACAAAGCCATCTTAGTGAAAGCTCCACAAAAAGTTGTTTAGATTTCAGGTTGATGCAAAACAGAGAGTTGAGCAAAGATTTAATCTCATCTCTAGTGTAAAGTTACACAGAAGGTTGGGGGTGCCTCACAAATGCGTGCTTCGTTTGGAGGAAACTTACATTTATAATCTGCCATTTTACTTTTTGGCAATATGATGACCCCACCTTACTCTGATTCCCAAAATAAACCACTGCCAGAATGTCATAACTTGGTGTGAATAAACATAATCAATCCATTAAACTCTGTCGAGTGAACCTGCAGAACTGTTGTTTCCTCTAACCAGTGTTTGAATATTTCTCAACATACCTCAGCTAAAAATGTTTCATCACCAGTACAAGAGATTATCAAACCAATGCGGTATGACATGTATAGATTTATATATAAAAATGGGTATTTGTGTTTTGGACATGACACTAACCCTTCATTATGAAAATTTAAAGCAAAGTCTAATTTCTCATTAGGCAAGGGAACACAACCAACCATGAAATGGAAATTTTATATATGCTGCATATACACTGTGTCCTAAGTTGTGGAATCATTTGGCCTGATTCATAACTGGTTCAGTTTGCAGCCAAATCCCTGTCTGCAGTTGCTAGCAATCATTTTAATGATGCACAACTTGATGTGATGCACTTGTACTCAACAACAGCTCTGGCACTATTAGTCTGAAGGCCTGTTTTGGACCTGCGAGAGCCCTAATTTATGGGAGCAATTAACGCTGTTGGGTTTTTAAAGGGGATCACTCTGCGCGGCAGTGTGTGCTTAAGACGCACACATTTGCAATGTCTTTGTGTTGCAGGCGAAAGGCCCTATTAGAGCCCCATTCTGTCAGTGGGCAGCTGTGTGCCTGCGTGCTGATCAAGCCACTGGTCCATTGAGCGTCTGTGTGTACAGCCCTCACTCAGTCCACACGCTGACGCACATGCTGCCACTTTCACCCCGCTCTGACTCTTTCTTTATGTCTTTCTGTATGTTTCCGTCTCCTCTTTTTTACATTTTTTTTTTGTTGGACCCGTTTTAAACTCTTATTTGTCATTTCTCTTTATGCTATGGTTCCCTTTCACTCTCTAGTTCTGTGGTCCGTGGCATTATGCAAAGCTACCAGAACAGGATTGTTAGCCATGGCTGTCTGCGCCTCCATGGTACCCTATTCACTGCTGAGGCTTCTCTTTCTTCTCTGTGACCTGCAGTCATAACTGCTGCTGTTCCAGACGTACTGAAACACATACATCTTGGTTTTACAAAGTAAAAAGCATATCTATTCCAATGTGTCATCTTTATTTTGTGTATTGGCTCCTCGTTGACATGATGGATTTGAAAGTCTGGTGTCTCATCGCCCACAGAGCCATAGAGCTGCTGCTGAAAAGAAGAGGCATTCTCACACACACCAAAAAAGATCTCCCCCAACCCCCTCAAGACCCGACTTGAGACTTGAAAAGCATTATGGGACTTCATGGGATAGAACTTTTCTCATTAACAAACCCGAGAAACCCTGTTTCTGTGGTGATACAGAGGAATATTTTTTTATTTAAACAGAACAAGAAAACACAGATGAACATACTTTTTAACTCTCAAATAAGTCTGTCTGAATACTGAGGGGTTAGTTATATTTGGAGGGGTTTGCATATCTGTTTTCTCTTCATGAATAACTACACTTGCATTCTTTGAACGTCATCTTTGGCTGTTTTGATTTGATTTTCCTTTAAAACAAAACAGAAAAAAAACTTGCTGTTGCCTTCAAAACTCCTGCCTGAATCATTTTAGTGTGGAATTGGCTTGCCTTTAGACCCATTCTTGTGACACAATCTCTATTGCTTCCCTTGAAATGAGAGAACTGAAAGCTTTGGTTGATGTACAGCACATTTTGGATCCTTAAGGGTATTTTTAGAGTGTATTTTCCACTCTTGACAAAGACTATGCGCCTACCTTACTCTCCTAGGATATCATCGTCCTTGAACAAAAGATCCTGACTTTTCTAAAGACACGTGGGAAACCTTGTTGCCTGTAATATCTCTTAGCTGGGGTGGTCTACTGTTTTTGGAAAGTTAGCTGCTGGCCGTCATGATAAAAGTCATTAACTGGATCGGTTGCATTGAAGTAGCACTTTCAGTAAGCAAACACTTTATGCCACATTCAAAACCACATAATTATTATGTTACCTTGATCTAAATGGCATGCTAACACATTTGTCTGATTGAAACAGTGCAAAACTGAAACTCGTAAACCAGGGTTAACACATTCAGATAATTCAGATGAAGATCAAAGCACTCCGGCATGTATGTGCTCCATAAGGACCCAGATGCACTGTACACACTCCAAAGTTAAATCTTTTTGCATCTTTTTGTAAAACAATAAAAGTTTCTAAGCTTAGTTTCTAATAAAAAAAAAATTCTCATCCTTATATTTTTAGTCATTTTCTTTCAGAAACTGAAGATCACCACCCGTTAGAACTATGGTCGCTTAAAGCAATTTGAAACTGTAACTGCTCTAATAAAATTCCAGATTTTACAACCACAATGGCATCTGGAAATATTTGCTTATGAAATTACTCGTAGGATTCATATACTTTGGTTATATTGAGGAGCAGGTTATGGTCCAGAATATTTTATTAAATTGCAGGTTTAAGAAAATGTTTAAACTGAACATACTTGTTGATAGCTTTACCATTACTAATGAAAAATTTTTAAGAGTTGCTATGTACCCACATTCACAAATTACAAGCAATGTGTGTATTGCTTCAACTGGCTGATGTCAATCAATGTGTTGCATAATCCAAAATGGTCTTTTTGTGCAAGTTTGGGCTTGAAAAAGGAGCCAGTGTGACCTGACAATCCTGCTTGCACAAAGAGGACCAATTTTCATGGTAATGTGTAATAACTATGCTTTAAAAAAACAGCGGGCTGTCTGTTTTACGTAGACATTTTTCATGCACCTGCAGGTTTGGCCAAACAACTGCATAACACAGATCAGCAACAAGATTGGCAACCCATCCCTCACTGAACAATGCCAAGAGGTGCATTTAGGACAGTACAGCTAGAGATCCAACAGGAAATAATTTATGATGCTGAAGTTAAATTCTCCTGACTCCTGTCTTTTAGCAGAGCATAAATGTTACTCCCCACATAGAAACTAAATGACTAAATATTTGAATATTATGTAAATATAATGACTAAGATACTAAATATGAATAAGCTTATCTTCGAAAAATAGGGAACCTATTTTTTTTTATTATAATCTCATGCTATTTTAAGATGTGAAAACAATAGATTGATGATTAGGGTTTGGTTAAAATCCCCAAACTGACCCGGGCACACCCTAACTTTGATCTTTGATATTGTCTGTTTTACCTACAGGCTTCACACTATGCTCAGTGGCCAGGGAGGTGAACTAAACCCGTCATGAATGAGTGAATGGACCGATGGAATGCTACAGTGTTCATTCTAATGTTCTCCCATCCATACACACTCACACTCACACCCCTAGCTCTTGATGTACTCACGTTATGTAACTCCAAAATGATTTCTTATTGGTTGATTGAGTTTAATGACTGGGTAACATCACTTTCTTGTGCAACAATGGAGTTGTCCACCAAACAGAGCTGAGTTATTGTAAGGGACTGCCAGCAGTACTGGAGGGTCCCATGTAATGTATCCCTGATGGATTAGGGCTCTGGTTAGTGTGCGAAAAAAACAAAACAAAACAGAGCAGGCACTTGTGGATAATGTTGGGGCAGTGTAATTACCGAGTTACCTGATGTATGGAGAGTCGTGGCATGTGAGGGTTAGAGCAAGGGGCAAGAGGCCCCATACCTTCCCTATCCTCAAACTAAAACAACTGATCCTATGCCTGCCAAGCTTCTAAAGACTTAATTTAACTAATTCCTGGTCTGAGACACAGGGGCCAACTTTGAATGCATTTCAGACTGCCTGAGAAGGAAATATTTCCCACATGTTTGCAGGTTGCATGTCACTGTGCTGGAGCTTAGTAAACTGGCCTTGCTCAATGGTCCAGTCTCCTACAACAAACACACTCAGATAAGGTCACGAAGAGCTGTCCAGAAATCAGACTTTACTAGATCGGTGACGTGTGCCTTTTCAGATCACCAGTTGTCACTGTTGACCTCTGTTTGTTCTTGGTTGCTATGGCTACTTACTCAGTCTCAGGAAACTGTATTCAACTAAGCAACTGTTTTAATGAAAAGCAACCATGTCAGAGTTTAACCGAGTTATGAATGCAGTGACTTGCACATTATTTTGTGTCAAACATTGAGAGATTTTTGTTTTTCTCCAAATGCATGTCGACTCTGTGGGTAGTTTTGGGGATTCAATTGCTGCTGTGTATGATTGCAAGATAGATGAAAACCATATTAGAACTGTCAATGGAACAAGAAAAAAAAAGTCAGATGAATGCTTGAACTGCTAGCATAAAAATCAGATGCCAGAATATCATAATATAATTACTAATACAGCTAATTTAACAATAGCTAAAGCAAAGAAGAAACCAAAGCTGTGGTCTGAGAAATCAGATGTTACCCTTTTACTCTTATCTTCCAAGCTTTTTGGTAGACTATGACCACGCTTTTTAAAAATGGTCTAAATCAGATACTTCAGCAAAGCAATGTTGTCAAATAAAGTGCTTGTTAATTGGACTTTCAATTAAAAAAAAAACACCTTTGTACCTATGTTGCACAGAAAATGTCAGTTTTATCACGCTTTGTTTGGCTGAACTGCTTCGTGTATGTTAGAAAAAAAGGAATGCTGTGTTTTTTCTGGTTCTATTGGTTTATTGAATTCTATAAAGCAAAAGTAGCTAATGGTGCATCATATGTGAAATTAAGTTGACGCCACAAAGCTGAGTGGATACAACTTGGGACTTTTTCTTTTCATATATTTGGTAATGAAGCTCCACGCCCAGCTCAGCAGCGGCAGTCCGACCACAAGGGAAGCAGAACCCATACACTGAGAAGGGAAGTGTGCCTACATGTGCAACTAACGCTGCTGTGTCTTCATGTCGACTAAGCAGTCAGATGAATAACTTCTCATCAGTGTTAACTCGACTCAGTCTGCACTACAGGCTGCACATCTGTAGTTACAGGTTAACTGCCTTTTCTCTGAAGAGAACAGTTGTGAAAGTGGATCATTACTTTGGAACTTTGAGTGCTACGTGTTTTTACAGAGGTTAATGGTTTCTGTTGTTGGAGGAGCATGGAAAGGAATCCACAAAGGAAACCAGAACTTTTGCGACTGACAATGCAGAAAGTTAGACTCAATGAACACTTCATTGTTCATGCACTTGTGAACATGGAATGGTGGGATGCTGTGTTTGGCCAGTGGCTACTCGGGTGATGACCAAAGTAGTCCGTGGTATGTCTTGACCTCTCTAGGATCATTTTTACAACCTTGAGCACATTATCTGAGAGGGGAGTGGCTGTGTATTCACCCTGAATTAACAATCCTCTCTTTAGACATTCACAAAAGAATGTCTGTCCCTTTTTTTTATTTTATTTTTTATCCAAACTAACCTAAAGAAATGATGTTTTTACAAATTTGGTATGAAGTATAAACGGATGAAAATTGTGGCTCTAGCCTTTCTTGGTCCGTGAACTATGTCTCAGTCAGTCTGTGTGGAGAGAAAAGCCATAAGGATTCATACTGAGCTTGTATCTGAGGGCTTGCCACCCAAGCAGCACTGTGTTTGTTTGCTCTTCATCATTTTATTCTCGTTAAACGACTCCTTTTCCAGCTTTAACCACAGATCAAAGTCTTGACACCAGACGCACTCTGCACAAGTATGCAGTAGCCAGTGCCAATTGGTGATGGACACAACCTCGTCACAGAACTTTAGGGGGGCTCAAATGGGCTTCTATTCATCTGCCTTTACAAATCGCAGCCTGGGCAAAGAGCCACATTATTTTAGATGCCCTTTCTTGCGCCCTCTCAAACTCACTGACTATTGTGGGCCAAGAGCTGCTGTCTGCAGTCCAGCATACACAAGTCTGACAAGAGGTACCCTAAAATCTGAAGGTCAAATTCAAATATATGAAAACATGCTGTTTGTATTATTAAATGTTAATTATGAGGGACAAATTGACTTTATTCAGATCACTGGCTCCTGATATCGGGTGCAGTATCAGGATCTACAAAACCTTTTGCAATGTTCTAAATGTAAACAGTCGGACAAAAGATAAATTAATCCCAAATCAATAGCATATGATGTGCAACTGAGGTGGTGAAATCATATTTATTTACCTCGGTGGAGTAAGTTGTAAAAGTGACTAACTAAACCTAAAGTGTCCAATAAACAAGAGCCTGGAAACAGAGATGCTGACAAGGTGTTCGACAGTTTTGTGTCCATTAAGCTCTGCTTTCCTTATCATGAGAGGTCGGCTCATTTAGTAAGCATGGCTCCAGGGTTGAATTTACACTGGCTCTGCCCTCTCCCATGACCCCACTTGCCAGTCAGCACATACAACTGCAGGTTAACATAAACAGCATGTATAGACACATACACCATCATAAAGTGCAGTTCCAGCCCAGACGGGACACGCTGCCTTCCACGCTGCATTTTAAAACGGCACGGTGTAACAACCCTCGCACAGGAACACCCTGCTTCTCTTGCCCCATACTGAGTAATGCATGCAAACCCTGCTGCACCTAAACCTCTGTGTCAGTCCTAATCAGTAAAGCAATCTGCAGAAGTGATCACGGAAAACATTCCCTTCTCCTCCAGCTCCCACCACCAGTACCAGCTTCTCTTTCCTGTGGAGGCCCAGTTGTGCTCCGCTGACTCTCTGGGATAAATGGAGATAATGGGAGTCATATGCTAGCAGTTGGTTCAGGGCAGGCCTACATGAAACATTTATATTAATGTAGTCATGAGGCCAAGGCAGAGGGTAGGGACAGAGATGACATTATGAAGTTTCATGACACAACCACAGTTGTAAAACTCTCTTATCAAATCCCTCTGTGAACATCCAACCTACATGTTCTCTTTTATGATTTTCTCTTCATACATTTCTGTTCCACAAAGCTAACTTAATACCGAGGACACACCCTCTCGCCCAAGCATGTTAAATGCAACAGCCCTTATTTAACTGAAAACCACATGTTACACAGGCGGGATAACATGGCAGGCCTGTGGCATCCATTTGCCTCATGTGTGGCTGTGCAGAGTGAAGCAGTTGTTGGCCTCCAGTTGGAATATCTGTGTTCGCATGCTGTCAGTGGGCTTGGTGGCTTATTAATAAATGAGAGAGATTTGGGCCCAAAGGCACTTGCGCTTCTCTTTCCACAAATAAAGCATAACTGATCCTGGCCATCATGCCCCAAGATGTTTCCCACTTTCATAACGGTGCCAGAAAAGCAGAACAGAACACTATCTGCCAAATTTGTAGCTCCCTCGCACGTTTACTGCAGTTGTGCTTTTCCAAGTGCGGGTGCAGCAACCACAGCTCCATACGTGTTCCTGCTCTGTTCATGTCTGTCAGCCACATCTGCAGCCATGTGAGGCCAGGGCACTTTTCCTAGGATTATCTAAGCTTTACCTTCTGGTTCACCATGCACTGCTTTCCATATGTTGCTGGCATTATGTTGACAACCCAAATGTTCCATTATTCACAAGGATGATTCTGGTGATTTAGTCATAGTTAGCATTTTGTTCACCAAGATAGCAATTTCATGGGAGTGTTACTAAACCAATAGCTGGGTGGGTAAGCTGAGTTATGTGTCAGGAAAGTAAATGGTTAACTGAAAAGATACATTCGTCCTCAGGGTATAGTTTATTTTGGGCGATGGTTAGCAGCTATACAAATTGTCTGGAGTTTCAAGGCAGCTATGCAAGTTTTTTTAATGCAGACTTATATGGCATAATGTTTATCTCTGTGTTTTATTAAGCAATAACGTTTATTCATTATGTATGTATATTTTGTATGTATGTTTTGTGTTCTGAATTTGTATAAATTTAAATTTAGAGGAAGGGACCTTAAAGGAGCTCTATATGCAGCATTCATCTGGTCTTATTCCAGTTCCCTGTGGGCATCTTGATTTGGCTCACGAGCCTTTATTTGCCTACAGGTGCTTAAGGCAACAGTACTGTGTTTAGTCAAAACTAAAGTCTCCCAGCAAGACGACACATTTTGGAAGCGGTGTGGCTTTTTTCATTATTAAAATGAGTATTGATGTTCCTCTTTTGCTCATCTCTTTTCACAAACAGGGGTCAGCTTGAATTCTACCTCCACACCCTAATCTGCACTGCTCTTCAGATGGGAGGTCACCAACTGCTCATCACCTTTACCCAAATGCACCGTCTGCCCGTCTCCTGTATATGATGGCTGCCTGGGGCCTTTTTATGCACCTGAACACCCTGGAGCAGAGCTGCTTGTTACCATGGTGATCATTTTCTCAAAAACACTGGAAAAGAAGAAGGGTGTCAATGATGTAATGTCCAAACGCATCACGAGACAGCCGGTGAGCTTCATTTTACTTATTTGATTCATGATGTAAAAAGAGTAATTAGTTAAGACAGTCTTGAAAATAGATTTGTTAGATCATGTTAATCCAGGTTAGTAGACTGTTTGGAGAATTATACATTGACTGAGTAGGAAATCATTCAATTTGAAAAGACTTGATGGTTTTTTGTGTTTAAAAAAAAAAAAGAAGCCATTACATACCTTCCTTTATTTTAACTTACAAATGTCACAAATTGTATTTTTTGTGACCCATAAAAACACACAAATAACACAGTATTGCGCTGAATTTGATCACTCATGAGAATGTCTGTAACCAACACTTTGGTTTCAGTTCTGAGCGGAAGGTACCGAGCATTTACATTTTATTCTTGTCTCACTACTCCATTTCACTTCTCCTGCTGCTATCTTACTGGTCCTTTAAAGACAACAGAATTTATCAGATTTTCAACAACCTACAAAACGATCTTCAACAATCTACAAAAGCTAAACACTCGTTCTGCCACTCATGGGCAGGCGCCACAGACATTCCTTTGATTATCATCAGCGTGTCTCTGTTATGAAATATCCACTAACTTTAGCCATTTTTTCCCTTCATGGAGTACTTAAAACTGTCCCTTTGGTTACTCATCACTATCTAATTCTCTTTTGTTTTACTTAGGGCCCACTTGGGCCACAGCTTTTCTGTATGCTGTTGTTCTCTGCAACAGATCAGTGTGGATTCAAATAGCTTGTTGGACTGACGTCATTAGTTTTGGCTACCTTCCTTGTCACTCCCACTAGTTAAAAGCACTGAGGTGTTAGAGGAGCATTTTGTGATTTAATCATCCTCTGCAACACAATGGCCTGCTTTAACTTCTTCTGTCTTGTGTCTGTGAAAACACATGTTATGTAATCACTGAAGGTAGGTCAAAGCATTGAACCATTTTATTTTGTCCTTTTTGTACATGAGCCTTCACCACCCTTCCATAACAAATGAATCCTAAGAAAGGATTTTTGTGACATTAATGCGTAGGCATGTAAAGACAAATGTTTTGTTTCATCCAAATAACCTTTGTTCATCATAAAAGAGAGACTATAAGGTAATGAACTTCTGTATATACGTTTATCTGAATGAGAAGATTATTGTCCAGGAAATGTCTCAATTCCATAAGGGACATTTCAGTCTGACCCTACATTCATGGCTCTTAATATAATAAACGTTGAGAAACTTTAAAAAGTATCTATATTGCACTTCATTTTGAGGTAACTACAATACAAAGCTGAAACTAATAAGATTTCAATTTAGAAAATTGGTGGTGCTCATAGAAAGTAATGAGTTCCTGTATCAGCAACAATTTCTTGATTCTCAATGGAAGACCCGATGGACACCTTTTTTAGCCCTTGTACATGTGGTTGCATTGGACCTGCCTGCCTGATTTAGTTGTGCATAAATGCAAGTAGCTTGATGAATAGCCATTGATTAATAGGATTTTTTTAAGATTGAATTAAAAATTCTCGATTTCCAAGATTTCCAGGTTTTCAGCTACATTGAAATACAGCATTATTTGATACTTGCTGTGTGCTAAAATTACATAGAAGCCTTTTTCTTTTTTTTACATTGTGTGTATGTTTTTTAAAAAAAGAAGAAAAGAGCAGTACAAAAAAATGATTATCAGTCTTACTAAACACTAATCAACATTGTATATGTTTTCCAAACTACCTGGCTTTTTAAAAAGCTAGCTAGCTAGTGTTAGCTTCACAAACAGTCCTGATGATGTGTCCTCGCCCTATTGGCTGAAATCTAGACAGTTGGCCAAATTCATAGCTAAAATGGTGGCCATTGAAGATGAAGTGGTGTTTCATTCATTACTTTTGTAGGCATAGATAGCAGTGTGAACAAACCAGCGGACTCTGGAAAATTGAAAATGTAAGTGCTTAAGATTTGGTTCCAACTTGCCAGATTTGAGGGACTTTAATTCGTGGAATGTTTTAGGCACTTCTAACTTATAAGATGAATGTTTTTGAAGGCTATTACATGCTGCACTCCCAAGCTAGCTGTCTATGTGCATCTATCCTCTCTTCCTTTTTTCTTTCTTAGCAGTTGACATACAGCAGGATTTTCAAAACATAACTAAAGATATCTGTCTGCCCATGGAAAATAAAGACAATGGAAACAGTGAAATGAAGCAGTAAATTACCAAGAAATTGCATTTAACCTCTGAAAAAGTTTAATATTCATCACAACTTTTTTTAAAAATTATTTTTTAATGTATTGATCATGTCGACTTTTGATTTCTTTTCTCCAGACTGAGCTCCACATCATGAGCAGAGGGACCACCCTCTTCTCCTGTGGAACTGTGGGTGAGTTATTCCCGTCTTTGCTTCCTGATCTAAATTTTAAAACGGATCCTTTTGACCTCTGCAAATGACTCCAAAATAAACGCTCATAATGAAATGCCTTGACAAGTTTAACCATCAGGCCCCCCCCCCCCCCCCCCCCCCCCCCCCCCC